CACACACACAACACACACACACACACACACACACACACACCACACACACACACACACACACACACACACACACACACACACACACACACACACACACACACACACACACACACACACACACACACACACACACCCACACACACACACACACACACACACACACAACACACACACACACACACACACACACACACACACACACACACACACACACACACACACACACACACACACACACACACACACACACACACACACACACGGCTGGTCGGCGGCCTACCGGGAGCAGGTGGTGGTTTCTGTGGCGGCCGCCCTCTTCTTGCGGTTCTTCTTGGGCAGGTTGTCCACTCTGTCGCTGGGCAGCATGGTGAGGATGAGGTGCGGCGTCTTGGTGCTGAAGTCTGCCTGACCTTTGACCTTACCGGGCTTTCTCATCTGACGGAGCAGCTCGTCATCCACACCTACGGAGAGCAGAGTCACTGTTAATACAGCGGCTGAGACCTACTTCATTTTCAATTCATGTTTATGTTATAGGTAAATAAGTTAATTATTCATGTTAAACAGTTGACTAAACTTAAAAGATGACTACACATTTCATTTTAATGCTTAATTTGTGAAGGAACAAGTTAAGGAGATCATATATAAGCAGTATTTCGGTAACACTAGTGTAAAATAACAAAGTGCAATATTTACTGCTACTTTTTTATGTTCAGTTTTGCCGGTCCTTATCTTTTATAATGTGGATGATTACTTTTATATATATCTTTTATTAATTTGTGCATGCCTCTTTATTTAATATGTAAGTATACTCTTTTATGTTGTCTTTATCTGCACTGAAAATAAAATGTATATTTCCCTGCTGTGGGATGATTTCTGATTAAGAGTGTTGTTTATACGCTTTGAGCAAAACAGAACAACACTTCGCCGAATGCCATTCTGATTGATAATAAGATGACCTTTGATTGAAATACAGATACACTGAGTGAGAAAAGCCGGAGGACTCATCAGTCTGAGGAAGCTAGCCAAGTTCCAGTCTTAACTTTTTCATTTATTTTGCTGGAATGCATCACTGACAAGGGATTGACTAAAGTCAGCAGCTAAATCTACCTGAACTGTACAAACAGTTGTTAAAGAAGGCATGCAATATATCTGACAGCACACACCCCCTCACAAAACCACCAGCCAAAACTAACAGATATAAATCCTCCTTCGTTCCTCCGGCTATTTCCCTGCTCTAGAGCGGGTAGCATCTGCACAGCTCCAGCCATGACCGGTTTCTTACTTTTATATTTCTAATATCGTACATTTCGTACATCATGTGTCCACCCTTTCCTCTTACTTTTATATGTGTGTTTGTATTATGTCTGTCTTATCCTGTGGTTATATTGCTACTTCGGCAAATGTAATTACCCATTAGGGAAGAATAAAGGTCTGATACTTGACTAAGGACAGAGACGGTCATACTGTATGTGTTCGTGAATGCATGTATAAAACAGCAATGAGAGCATGCCTCTTTCTGATTTCATGTTTTCTTTTAGAGCTCAAAACAAGCACCTTCTTGTATTGCATCAGTATAAAAAAGTTGTTTTTTTCACCAAGTGGTAAAAAAACTGACTTGGCTCAGCTGGTTGTAAATCCAGAGGAAAGTACCATAATTTGGGGCCTAAATTAAGCAACACTGACTGTCTGAAATTCAACAGTTTCACAGTGTGGGGAAGAACAGTCTCCTGGTTATTCCTGAACGATAGTGTGTAAGTGCATCATGAATCATTTCAGAGGCGCCTAGCAGAGAAGTCTGCACTTAATGTTCAAATGTTATGACCTGCGGGATTATTTCTGTACTGATCAATCTAATTTTAGTGCTTTTAATGCCCTTAAAGAGTTATTTACGACCAACCTTTTAAATTCCTCATGTATATGACCATTCACATGAAACTGGGGTTAAGTTAAAGGCTGTGGTAGGCTGTTTATTTGTGCCAAAATTGGGATAAAAAAAACAAAACCTTTAGGCATATAGTGATTTAAGTGGGCTGAGAGAAAGCTAGACCGTTGCTGTTTTCAGGCTTCAGTGAGCGTGTAAAGTGAGACTGTAGCTAATCTCAGATACATTCAAAGACAATTGTACAGGTTACTGTATGAAGCCTGGGCCTACGCCTGGGCCTACGCCTGGGCCTACGCCTGGGCCTACGCCTGGGCCTACGCCTGGGCCTACGCCTGGGCCTACGCCTGGGCCTACGCCTGGGCCTACGCCTGGGCCTACGCCTGGGCCTACGCCTGGGCCTACGCCTGGGCCTACGCCTGGGCCTACGCCTGGGCCTACGCCTGGGCCTACGCCTGGGCCTACGCCTGGGCCTACGCCTGGGCCTACGCCTGGGCCTACGCCTGGGCCTACGCCTACGCCTGGGCCTACGCCTGGGCCTACGCCTGGGCCTACGCTTGGGCCTGGGCCTACACCTGGGCCTACGCCTGGGCCTACGCTTGGGCCTGGGCCTACACCTGGGCCTACACCTGGGCCTACGCCTGTACTCGTCTATTAAATGAGCTAAGGACACAACTATTTGATCTGAAGGATAAAGGCTGTATTAGAATTGTTGGCTTGTTTTCTTTTTGCTTTCCCAAAAAACTGCTTGCACTGGGGTACCAATTGAATAACGATAATAATATGTTTATTTATTTACTTTTAGTGTGTTAGCTCAACATCTTTATATGTGGCCCAAACTCAACTAATGTCCACATCCACAAACAACCAACTTCAGGAGAGTCTCAAATCATCATCATCTCTGTCAATCACGTGAAAGACTTTCACTCAGGAAGAGGTTCAACTCTTCAGCATGGTTCTGCCAGAGGCATGAAAATGGTTTCTCCGGTCAAAATGTATTTATTATTGTATTTATTTGTTTGTTGGTAAGAGACAAGAACACCAACAGTTAAAGCAGTGTCTGGTGTACTGTGGATAGTTCAAGCTTTAAAACCAGTTTGGGCATTGACAGTTAATCATTCATGGAAAGCATACTGTGGGTTAATCCAAGCCTTATGAAGTTGCTCTATTAATCCACCCCGCACATAAGAACCAGGACTTGGCTGATATCATACGCAGTGAAAAAGACAGGTGCGACCAACCTGCAAACAGAGTCTCCAGCTCCTCACTCTTGTTGGGCACAATGTTGTTGGTGGACGGCACGAAGGTGCAGCAGGGACAGTGGACGCCCAACTTCAGGCCGAGATTATTATCTGAGCGGTGAGAAGGACAGATTACCTCACAGATGAACCTCAATAACACTGTATATTATACATTGATACACATGTTATCAATCTTATATGTGGAGGCAGTGCTGAGACGAACCTGGATCTGAAATCCAGTCCTTGATGGTTTCGGTGACGTCCACGGACATCCAGGCTCCCTTCGCCTTCGGCTGAACGGTGCGGGAGTCGATATAACGCTCAGTGGAGGTGGTCTCCTCATCTGCCTTCAACAGCTGAGACAAAACACAAACACAGTTATAATAGAAAGGTGGAAATTACAAACCTTACAAGAAATGTAAAAAGATATAGAGGCCTTTTTTGGCCTAGGCAGAGAAAATGACCTTCCTAGTTATCCTCCAATGTTACACCATTTTATCTTAGTTACTTATTTTTTATTTATTTTTTATTCTGGCCTGGAAGGGGAGGTTATTAAGCTGACTGCATTATGTGAACGATGACCAAGCTGACTGTTGGTGTTTTCTCTGTAGTGTGTTGTCGTTTTGCTATAAGAAACAGTCACTGACAAGCACTTTAACATTACTGTCAAATTGTTAATGAAAAAACATAATTTCCACTGTAGTAAGGAGTGAGCAGTGAGTTTATCTTCCTTCATTATAACATAAATGGCAAGGAGCCTAACACTGTATGTCACAAAAAATATCACAAATCAATAATATCCTGCAAATGTCTCTTCAGTAACTGATGGTTACTCACATATTTCTGTGTGAGGTGTGCATCGTCTCCCTTACGTCAAAATATAAGACATGAGAAGATTTATTGTCATAAAAGTCTTGTGGCATGATGCCCAGATTCCGAGAGGAATTTAAATGGAACTCCTGTTTCTACCTTGTGGATTTTGTTTTCCGAAGGTGAAAGAGCTCCTGGTTCTGCTTATTTGAACTAAAAGCAACCTAACACGATTAAAAATAAGCAATAATGAAGTTTCCTATGCATGATTGCAGGACAAAATGTAAAGAGAAAATAATGTTGACTAAACTCTGAAAAGATACTAGGATATGAGCTACACAGCACTCTATAAGAAAAGGTCGAACAAGGGATAGGTATCTGGTCTAAATGTTGATAGAGCTGGATAAAAAGCTGTCACGTGAAATGGGGATAACCCTACACAACGGAGCAAAGGAAATCGGACAATTGTTGGAGACTTCAAGAAGCTCAGATGGATAGAACATGTGGGAAGACTAGAAAAATGAAAATTGTGTGGATAAATCGGAGAGAAGGGTGGACTGCTAGAAATGAAATTCCCAAACAGTTTGAAGATGTGTTTGTTTATGATGTTCCTCTGTTGGTTTTATATGTTTATTAAGGTTAGAATCGTCAAGAAAGCGAAGAAAAAGAAAATAATTCATAGTAATCAAATTGAGTCCGATTTGTCTAGACACATGGTGCGGTCTGAGTGATAAACAGGTGACTTGTTGATACCTGGTAGATCTCCACTCTCTGCTCCGAGGCCCCGGCCTGCGGGTTGGGAGCTCTGAAGATCCTGAACTCGGCCTTCGTCAGCGAGCTGTTGGTCAGATCCACTCCACTGACGTCAAAGTGGACCTCTCTGTAATGTGGGTTGGGGGCTGTTGGCTGAACCGCGTCTGGATGGAAAAAACAAAGAAAGGATGACTAATGACCCAACAACATCTCCTGCCCTCTCTGACAATGTTGTATTTATAGTGTTGGTTAAAAAGCGCTGTGGGGGCTGATGCATTGTCTCGGACATAATTGATGCTGATGAGTGTCTCACAACTAAATTACAGGTTTGGGTGCATCGAGTAAATTCAGCTGGTCTTATGTTTAATATATGGACGATTGTTGTTTTCATGGGTGTGAAACTACACAGATGTTTAATTATGCGATGTATCCAGTAACATTAATCTTAACATCTCCAAAATGATGTCCACGAACTTCAAGTGTTGTCTCTTTTTGTAAGAGCGGCTGGCTGTTTGTCACTGTAGAGCCACTCTCAAGGAATCTGAGAAGCAGATGCCTTGCTCAAAGGTACGTCTTCTGTAGCTGTTTTTGGGAGGAAACTTCACTGTATCTACTGTTGTATACTTTATCTGACATCCAAGGTATCCAATAAACATTTTACAAATCATCTTAGATTTTGGATTATGTAATAGCTTGCCTGGTTTTAAAGAATGAATTACAGTCATTTTCTGTTGGCAGAAAGTTAACAGACAATCCACAATTTCTTTGCATCATTGACATTGAGGTATTTTATGATAACTATTGTGTAGTGTACTTTAGTCTCAATGTGTGATACAATGATTTATCACTGCAGTTCTAAAAGATATTGTGAGTGAACATAAAAAACACAATGGATTGCTGTTACTATTTATTCCATTGTCTGCATATTGGATATGATTTAAAAAAATCTAAGCAGAAAAAACACTCTTAAGCCTAGTTTCTGTTTTAGCAGGCTATGAACAGCGATACAGGTCAACAGATTTGTGATAAAATAATACTTTATTGTCAGATCAAGTCTGAAGTTTATCTTGCATCAAAGCACCTCCATTTGCAACATCAACAAGGACACATATTATTCAGAGGGGTGAGAAGTAAAAAAGTTAGGAACCATTTTATAATCTAAAATATTTGTGGTTTTGGACCCCATCAGTGAACTCTAAGGACAACGGACTCACTTGTGTTGGTGCGGGGGGGCAGCATGTCGATCCTCTGAACTTCTTTGGCGTAATAATCCTCCTCGCTGCTCTCGCGGTCGCACGCGGATTCGGCCAGCCGCGCACGCTCCTTCAGCAACTCCCGCGTACTGTTGTAGAGCAGCACGACCTCTGGGGGCACGGACCCGGAGGGAGGGTCCTCGTCGTCCTTGTCCGGTGGGGTGCGGATGCGCAGCTTGCTGAGGATCTGCCCGCGCACCGCCTCGATGCGCCGCGACTTCTGCGCGTCCAGGTTGATGGAGTGGCACGTGTTGAAGCCCTCCACAAGCAAAACACCGGAGAACCGGAGCAGCAGCAGCAGCAGCGCGAGGCGGAGCAGCCACATGGTCCGGAGGGGAGATGGAGCTGAGACAGTGGAGGTCACTGTGGAGGTCACTGGGGGACACTAATGTCACTAAAACGAGTCCCAAAAACCAGGTGTGAAAAAATATGTGGGCAAAGTGGTTTAAACTGGAACCAATGCCTCAAAAAACTATTATAGTAAAAAAAAGCCAAAGATAAAACCACTTTCTGTGGAATAGGAGACACACAGATTTACTTATTTTAACTTAATTGTATAAGTGTTCATACATTCTGCCACTTAATTTAACACCAGATGCATTATTTTATACACTTGAAATAAATCAACAGATCCGAAGCCAAAAAATATCACACTACAACCAAACCCCTGTAAAAACCTCAAATATAGTGACTGGAGGTTTGGCAGACGCTTAAATCCCAATCTTGTACGCTCAATAGCTTCGGTGATGTCTCGTGCCAGTGTTGAAGATATTAAATTACAGTCAAACCGTTCAGTTTAGTTTTATCCGTCTTCGTTTTCCGTCGTCCATCCTCGGATGATTGAACAGCTTTCAGGAGAAAAGACTCATCACAGGAGCTCAGCCCATGTCGCAAATCCTCCAACAAAAACCTGGCTGCTCACTTCATCTGAAGAGGAACGGCTCGCAGGCTCTCACCTCCCAAAGACCCCTCTCTGGAGCAAAAAACTGGCCCATACCCACTTCCAGAAACTCTACTTACAGCTTTTAAAAAACACCGATGAGGTCCTCTCATTCCGCGTTATATGTAAACAAGAGGGCTGCCTGCACTGAAACGTAGGAAGAAAAAGTTGATTTATGTTGGAAAAACCTTGGTGGGCACCGTTGATCCCCTCATATAAACATCAAAACACAGAAAAAGTCAGACGTCATGAAAAGCAATTACGCAGAAAAACTTATGTAAGGAGTCCTTGTGCTGTGGATAAAAAAAGTAAACTTTACAGTTGATTTCAGATCCCCGGTCTAAATGCGCTCCAGCATGAAATCTGTGCTGAAAACACTCAGACCTGCTGCATGATGTGACTCCATTATTCTCTGTGAGAAACGCTCAGACAGAGGGAGTAGGAGGCGAAGGAGGGAGGGACTGGATGTGAGAGAGGTGGTGGTGGTGGGGCGGGTGGCCACCAAAGTAAAGCAAGTGTGTGATTATGTAGGCAAGAGCCATCTTCCTCTCTCTCTCTCTCTCACACACACATTTTGCAACTTATTCTCCCCACAAAAATGCTTGCTCCACCCTCTCAGCAGGTAAACATCCCCTGGGGACAGCTCAGACTTGGAAGGAATAGTTTGACATTTTGGGAAATATGCTTATTCATTTTCACATGGAGTTAGAGAAGATTTATATCAGTGCATTAAATATGAAGCTGGCCTAGAGCAGGCTGTCAGCAGATTCTCCGAGCAGAAGCCAGAGCGCCAAGAAGCATATTTCCCCAAATGTAAATCTTTAACTTCAAAGAGAAGCTGGGAAAACGTATTGCTCCTTGCCAGTGATTTCTAAACGTTGCTTAAGGAAGGATCTCAGTGCGATTTCCAGACTCATAGCTTTAAAGCTAATCCTAATTTTATTAAATCCTTCCACAGCCCATCCCTTTTTTATCTTTATCTTTTCCAGCTTATGATCTAAGGCCCTTTCTTTCCTCTGTTCCTCTTTCGGTCTCATTGTTAATTACAGCTCAGCACTTGGAGAGGACTGTTAATCTGTCAGGGGAGGTTTTTATTGCTGCTCTGCTGCCATCCCATTATACCATTATTATAGTTGCGGGTGCAGGCCTATAATTGCTGTAAGTAGAAGGAAAAGGTAGGAGAGACTCAGGCTGCCTCCAGGCTTTTGGTCAGGGCAAACCCCCCCGCGTCATCGTCTTCTCTGGCAACGTTTCTAAAAGTGATAACGACGCCTGCAAACAAAAAGACTCCTGTTCCAACCTGACTGCTGCACCGTCTCCCAGAAACGATTGAAAATACATTTAATATGTCTGCGGAATCTCTTTCAGTATTCTTGAAAATACCAGACACGCCGTGGGGCATTGCAGATCACTGGAGCCCGCCCAGGTGTGTGTGCTGCAATGTGAGGCATAGAAAAAAAAAAAATATATATATAGACTTCCTCAAAAACAACTTCTAGCCCGCCTGCTTTTTTCTGCTCCTTTTCCTCAAAGCCAAATATAGACAGGCCACTGCCACGTCATCTGGCCCTCAGAACCTTCCTGAGGGCAAGATGGGGTTCAGAGCCTGCCTCTTGCTCAGGGAGCCTCATATATTTGAGCATGTCTGTAATATAAGTGAATCCAAATTTTTCCACAAAAACCTAAAACAATTTTGGCTAGTCGTGGAAATCAGGACAGTTTTATTGGAAAAAAAATAAAGAACAAACCCAAACAGTTACAAAAATAAATACAGATAAAACCACTGGGGGGGGGTTTCTCTGGGAAAACATTTCCATCTGTTGAAATAATTGTTCCTCCATTGGCAGCTTCAGACGCTTAGATGTCATAACAGCAATCAACCAAACAGTGTGGCCTGTTTTCTCAGGGCATCAACTTCAAGTCCAGCCTCTATGAATACACAAAGCAATATAGTGACAGCTCGGGGGGAGGCTGTGTTTGAGACTAAACCTCGTCGTCGTTCAGCAGCATGTTGGGGATTCCTCTGGAGATCGGGAACTCTCGTCCGGATTCAGGGCACCGCAGACAGCCCTCGATCACCTCCACCTGCAACGCACACACACAGGCGGTAAGAGGTCAACTCTAGATGTCACCATAGTTTGAAATACACTGTATGACCACAAGTATTAGACACCCCCGATCTGTTGTAGCCCAAACCTTTCAGTTCCAATTAAAGAGGCCCCATTATGCTTTTTGGTTTTCCCTTTCCTGTAGTGTGTTATAAAAGTCCAGCACTCCAGGTTTCATAATAATGGTAAAGTGCTGTCTGCGATTTTAAAAATCTGCAAATATCTCCTCACTGTGCGTTAGTCGTCACTTCTGTGGGTGCAGGATAAGCCTTGGCTCCAGAGAAAGTGACTCGGAGTCCCTCTTCCAGACAGGACAGGGGACATTAAATACCAACTCTTTCTCCAGAATGACTGACTCCACCTTTAATAGGCTGTAGTTAAGCTGTGGTACCCAGACTTTTACAAGCACCTTTTAGCATTCAGCATAACATGAAATCACTGAGGCCACTAGCTGAATCTTAATAAGAGGGTTATCCATATTTCTATCTTATTATTAGCTTGATGCAGTACGTGATCACAGTTGTACGTTAGAGTAAGGTAAGGTCTTGTTTGTCTAGTGCAGTGTTTCTCAAACTTTTTCATACCAAGGACTTAACCAATACAAAAACACTCGCGGACCACCTGACTCCACAAATATCCAAAATTACATCGTTTTTCTTGAACAGATTACAAATTGCCTGAAAATGGTACAAACAAGTGGCAACATGTGTAATGAAGGTGTTGCGCTATATCATGCAATTGAAAATGAAACTTAAAGAGCCTGTGACACGAGTTTCCCCCATCATCCAAACCCATCAATTTGAGTAAATATTGTCCCCTTGAAAACCGTTACTGAACTGATTTTGGATATTTGTACTTTGATAACCATTAATCTGCCCTTCAATGTTGACCATTTCCTGAATCTTCTCGGGGATTCTTCAAGTCCCGCCAAATTATGTGTGACGTCATTGCGGGCACAGCGCTCCAGCTGCACCGTTCAGGATCCCAGCATCTGCATGTAAACGCACGATGGCGCACACAGCAGCAAGCTCAGACAGCGATGACAGTTTAATGTTGAACGTGTCTGAGAGCTCATGAGGCTGAAGGATCGCTTTATGTTGTATCTGTTAGAAGTTTATTAGGTGCGTCAATATGGGCGATCATACGGTCATGTAGCCAGTGGTGGACTGGGACTAAAAATCATCCCGGGACTCTCGACCGGCCCACTTCGGTACCGCTAGTAAATTGTCAACGGGGGGAGTGGGGGATGTCAGGGGCGGCAGGTGCTGTAGATAGTACATGTAAATATGTAAATATTTGTGTCACTGCATCCTGGTAAAATACAAATATAATGTATAATGTCTGTGTCTTTGACATTAGCGCTGCCAGCCACCTGTGCCCTGTACTACGAAGCCAGTTCAACAGACCCTGGATATGTTTGAGTAACAAACTAACTAACAACAACAAACTAACAACAAACTAACAAACGAGATCTCGCTAAACGGTCCTAAGACGCTGGTTATCAACTCGGTAAATCAAGCCAGGGTTTCTCTCTCCAGCTGAGAGCGCGTTCACGTCTAAGACACGAGTGGATCTGACTTTAATTACATTTGACTCGAGTGTTTCGTCAACATAATTTGTTGCTTAAAATAATACTTCTGCATACAGTATGTGACACTGTAAGTGTTGCACGGCCAGATACGGCTGGAGAAGCTGACTCAGATAAGGAAATATATGATACATTATGATATTATATGATCGATGATCTGATTGATGATGTAATATGAATGATAAGTGCGACACGTCGGCGTCTTCTCTGCATACGGCAGTTTAAACTGTATTTCCTTTATCCTGTAATATGACTTGATAGATTTAAACTCCGCACACTGAGTTGATCTCTTTTCTATAGACGCCGGAGGCGGGCAGCGTCAGGTAAAAGAAGTTATTTAGCCTTCCCAAACCTGAGCCTCACGCGCCGCCTATGGGGGATGTGCTAGTGACTTATCCGACCGGCCCACTTCGGTACCGGCCCATCGGGATTGGTCCCGATGGCCAGTCCGCCACTGCACCCAGCCCACGTAAACTGTCAACGGGGGGAGCCTCGCTGCGGGGAAACGGTGGACCTAGTGTCCCGATCGGAGTGGGAATAATAATAATAATAATCCGTGCATTTTATCCATTAATTTCCCCAACATTGTGGTGAAAAAACACACGTTTAATCCATGTTGGTGTACTACAACTACAAAAAGCATCGGTTTGTTTTCTCATCAGGAAATGCAGACCGGCTCAAACAAACGATTTTTAATCATCATTCTCACGACCATTTAATGTATCATATGTTCGCCGAATTGACATGAAAGCACTAATAAATGTAGTTTCATCCACTTGAGTTTACAACTACAAAAATAATCGATTTGTTTTTATATCACATCCTACGGGAGGAAATTCAGCAGCTCTCACTACCGATTTTTAATCCTAATGTAATCATCATCTTCACCACGATGATTTATGTTTATGTTCGCCGAATTGACATGAAAGCACTGACAAATATGAATATACTGTAGTCAACTTCATTAAAACGTTATTAACGTGCCTAAACTCAGTAATTCACCATTTCTACGCATGACAACGCACTTTGTCCGTGTTTGGCTCTCTCGCCGCACAGTGAAGCGTTCCCGCATTGACGTCACTTCCGGCTTCCCCCAAAACTTCAAAATGAGTCGAAGGAATTTCCCTGCGATGTTCGAAATTATTGATATTTATCGGAACGGTATCGCACCTTCTTTTTTAAACTGACGGTTCGAGATTACTAGTAGCCCAATATTTCATTGCACAACAGTTGTTGGGATGCTGTCACAGGCTCTTTAAGCTCGCTCCATTGCGGAGACATTCCCGCGAGAGTGCAGAAAACTTACATTTATTTATTTCAAATGTGAAATTTTACCAATATACTCACGGACCACTTGGGGGCGCTCACGGACCACAAGTGGTCCGCGGACCACACTTTGAGAAGCACTGGGTTGCTTTCCGATAATCCAAAAATCAGCTCCTAAGTTCTAACCCTATCTCCTATTCCTTGACCTCTGAGTGAAACGTCACGGGGTTAAGGGATAGTGGATAGGAGAATTCAAAAGGACTTAGGAGAAGAGACCGCGGTACTTTAGAGAATCCGAATGCACTTTCACTATCCGACGTGTTTATGATGCGCCAGCGGACGTCATGAATGTGCGTCTGCTGCTGTGGGGAAACTATGGAAACTACAGTTTTCTATACAGCGGACTACAACATGGATGTTTAATAAGAACGAGGGACTACTGTCAACTCATCTAGAGACTCTGCACCGTGCTCTGATGCTGTTGTTTTATGCTTTATGAACGGGGACAACAGAGAAACATATTCTTCATGACCAAAGTTGGAATTGAAATAAAAAAGGAAAGTGAAACTTATGCTCGTCACCCTCTCCCTCCGGTCCACATTAATACAAATGATCCCAATACGTATGATTGTATGAACTATGAAAATATCTTAAAAATAAATACAAATGTATTTATTATAAACGTTAGTCCTTAACATCTATCACTGTGTATATCACCATTCAAACATCTTTTAAAAGTTGAACAAACCCCACACAGCTCAGTAAAGACTGTGAGATGTTGACTTTATTTGGTCATTTCAGTAAAAACTAAAGTTCATATTTCTCTTTTGATTATAATACTGATGAACGTTCAAAACAAAGCACTTTGGCAACTTACCACATACGTTTTAAAAAGCTTAATAAGCACCGTAACTTTCATGATATAATTTCTCCGTCATAATCGGTTGTTTCCGTGAACGGCCGACTGTTGAGTGACGGCAAATGCTGCGGCTGCAATGCATTGTGGGGCAGCATTTTCTCCTCTCCTTTCGGTTAGGGAGGTCCAGTGGTTCCTAAACTAAAGGAGGTTATAAAGGAAGTTTGAAACCTCCTTTCCTTTCATTTGGAGAATTGGAACGGCACTTATCTTGGCTGCCACTGAGGGACTTCCGGGTCATTTCACTCCGTTAGGAAGGTTCCTAAGCCAAATGGACTATTGGAATGCAACCCAGGTCTAGTGCCATACAGTCCTGCAAATGGCTTCACACCATTCCTACCATCTCCAGGTGGCAGAGATGAACCAAGAAACGGAGCAATGCGTGTAGAAAAGGCAGAAAAACATTCAAGTGAAATATGGAGGACTGGAAAAACATATTCATAAAACCGTTTTGCTGATGTTTTTTGAGGCTGGAAATGCTTTCAGCACATTTTTTAAACCCCAACGATATACACAATGGGTTTTGTTGAGTTACTTTTGTTTAAAAACAACTTTTCTCAACAGTTTGGGGAAACCGCTTTTCTGATTCAACATGACAGGCACAAAGCCAGGACCACACTGAAATACATGTCTGAGTTTGGTGTGGATGAACTTGGTCTGCATCTGAAACTCATAACATAACTCCTCAGAGAAGAACTGGAACCAGAGGTGGACTTCAGATGCTCACGTGGCTGAATGGAAGAAAACCTCTGCACCCAGGATCCCAAATCATGTAGAAAACCTCTGCAGAGCAGTTGAGGATGTCATGGCAACACAAAGCGGCAATAATAGAGCTGATTGGGAGGAGGAGCAGGTTTCACACTAATCACAGGGCTGACATGGCGCTCTCCGGCTCCTCCATCACAATCAGTGAGAGTGTTCAAACGAGAGGCAGAGTATGAAGCGCTGAGTGCCTTAACATGGGTCGTTTATTTGCCATTTATGCTAAGGGCTTGGGAATGAGGTGTTCAACATTCTTTTTGACCACGCAGTGTACATGCTGGGGTTAGAATAATGTCCATGGCTTTAGTATTTTGGTGCCTGTGTTTGATCTCAACATAAATGGCTTCTAAAACAAGACACTGGACGGGTAACAACCACATGAAAGCTCTGCTGCTAATTGCTATAGCCAGTAATAGAAACAGGAAGTGAAGTGCTAACTCTACCTTCCTATGCAGGGTTCTTACACCTTTTCCAAAGTCAAATTCAAGCACTTTTCAAGCATTTTCAAGGTGCATTTTCCAGCTTTTCAAGCAGCTTACAGCTGTTGTCAATTACATATTTATATACACATACTCAAATGATTATTTCCCTACCTCACATTAAATCAGATGTTCTTTATGCTATAAACAACAAAATGTGTGTTTCGTGATAGCATTCTACACGAGGATGAGAAATTAAAGAAAAGAAAACTAAGTTTAATATTTCAAAATGAGTGATCTGTCATAGACTGGGCCTCCCATATAACCTGTCTGAGCCAATATACAACAATCAGCCAAATAACTTTTCAATACATTATTGAGGTACTTTTAGGTTGGCAGTAAATAAGTCAGAAGTACATGGTGTACTTTTCCTCCACTACATGTATTTAATACCTTTAGTTACTTCACAGATGTGGATGAATGATGTGAAATATAATCAAGTGTTGAATCAGACTGTAGTTCCACCTGAAGTAAATCCACCAGCTACCCTGCAGAATACAAAGCCATTCAAACTAGCTGCACCTTCACCAGCTTTGAGAACACTTTCATGATCAATCATTATAAAACATATCATATATATTATTCTGAAATGGACCAATCTGCACAACGACTACTTTTACTGTCTTTAACTATATTTTGATGAGAATACTTTTCTACTTTTACTTGAGGAACATTTTGAATGCAGGACTTTTACTGTGACAGAGTATTCCTACACTCTGGTACTTCTACTTTTACTCAAGTACAAGATCTGAGTACTTATAATTTCACTACAAGATCTGAGTACTTATTCCACCTCTGGTAGCGTATTAGTCTCAATTATAGCCACAAAATCACGCAGAGCTGCATAAAAATAGCCTCACAATGGTAACAAGTGGAAAATAATATTTACAAATGTGTACAATGATTTGTAGGTAATGCTACTCAAGACACCTGACTTATACTTCTTCAAAGGAAGACTGTGTTCATTCTACAATTACATGGGATTAAAGCAACATGTAGTTTTACTTGTATAATACTTCAATTTTATATAAAACACAGTTTGTTTTCAAATAAACAAAGTCTTGGCTTTCAGAATATTAAATTAGTTTCGGCAAATTCAGATGATAAATACAACTTTGAAGCTTCGGCATAATTACAAGCAGAGAACGGACTAATGTAACGTAACATCGCAGCGCCCCACACACACACACACACACACACACACACACACACACACACACACGACACACACACACACAGCACACACACACACAACACACACACACACACACACACACACACACACACACACACACACACACACACACACACACAACACACACCACACACACACACCACACACACACACACACACACACACAGCACACTACACACACACACACACACACACACACACACACACACACACACCACACACACACCACACACACACACCACACTCACACACACATCACACACACACACACAACACACACACACACACACACACACACACACACACACACACACACACACACCACACACACACACACACACACACACACACACACACACACACACACACACACACACACACACACACACACACACACACACATCACACACACACACACACACACACACACACACCAACACACACACACACACACCACACACACACACACACACACACCACACACACACACACACGACCAGTAATACAAACGAAAATGTGTCTTCGGGTCAATGTGACTGATTTCTATAGAGCAAGTCACATTTGGTTTAGGCACGAAACATACTACCAGTAGAAATATATTGCTTTCAAAATCGCTCTGTGTCGAATCAATAGATTATATTTCGTGACTATAACACGAAATGCCGTGAGTGCTTCATCCTCTGAACACCACACGATGGCGACTGTAACGCACATAACATAGGTACGCTCCTCTGAAATGATTGTCCCCTGCAATTATTATTAGCCCTCAATCGAGTTCGATATTCAGTTTGCTAACGTTAGCTTAAACAAACGTAACATGCCACGTTAGCCTAATCTAAAATGCTCTGCTCCGGCGTACCTTTCATGTGGCTCGTCAGCGCAGACTCTCGCATCGTTATTTTTGCAAACTTTGCAGGAGGCTACTCGTGGGCTTGACCCTCGTCTTAGCCATGGCTTGTATTTGTCTTCTGCTAGCCAACGCTCGTTGAAACGGCAACCTCCTGGCACACAGTCATCTATCACGCTCATCAGAAAGCCCAGGTCACACGTAACACAAACACTTGCAGGTCGCGCGCATAGCGCGGGAAGGCCGCAGCGGAGCTGTTTTAGAAGCGAAGCAATTCTTTTCTTTTAATCTAAAAAGCGAACTATTCAGTCAGACAGCAATTTATTGTAAAAGTAAAGCATTTACATTTTCAAGCACTTTCTCAATTTCAAGCACCATTCCCAAAATTCAAGCACTTTCCCAACCTTGAAAACACCACGTCAAATTTCAAGCATTTTCAAGGATTTCAAGCACCTGTACGAACCCTGCCTATGTTACTGTGTGAGAGTACTATAAACAATTCCCCAACCTTACCTTTAAAAATGGGTTCAGGCTTATAAAAACGTGTATGGTTAAAAAATATTTGAATTAAAGATCCATAACAACTTGTGAAGTTAAACATTTTCCCCCAAACAAGACCTTTGTATCCATGGAGAAAATGTATACTTGATCATTGTTGATGGACAGATAACTAATATAATTTCATTATCAATTAGTCATAGTGTTTTTTCAGCAAAGATGCCCAAGTAAATCCTGTGATGTGAGGATCTGCTGGTTTTCTCTGTATACATATCTTTGGGTTTTGAACGGTTGGTCAGAGAAGAAAAGACACCTGATGATGTCTACAAATCCTTTTTCACTAGACCAAAAGATAAACCAAGTGATCAAGAAAATAGGCAGATTAATTACAAATTAAAGTTGTATGTCTAGGCCCTAAAAACCTCCATGTGCATCTTGTTATTACATACTGTAGTGATAAGCACCATTACTGTTTCTTACCTCTAAAAGCACTCTGTGCACTTTCTTCAGAAACTCTTCGTTTTTCTCGTACTCTGGCACCAGCTCAACCGGCAGGTCTTGCCGATGACCCAACTAAAGAGGGAAAGAGAAGTGTTACAACCAGGCAGTGGCAAATACATTAGTGGATGTTAATGGGTGGCAAAAGACACCATTACATATACTCCACTTACTGGTTAACAAACCACAAACAAAATCAAAACATTGACACTATATCCAACACTCCGGTATACTTTTTTAACCCTTCCTTCATCTTCATCAATCCCCTGGACCACTGCTGTTGACACAGTCCAGCATTTGATTGGCTTTTTTCCTATACTGATTGATAATGAATCAGTGAAGAATCTGAATATTACACAATAGGTTTTTTTGTTGGTTTTTGATTTGATGGACTTTTCAAAGAATGTATTTTCTTAAAGAGAGAGATACTTAGCAGCTTTTAAGCCCTTTCTTTGTCTCTCTGGAATGCACTCTGGTATTCATGTTTTGAGAGATATTAAAATAATGGGAGTCTGGCGCACCTCGTCTGCAGCCTGAACCAGAGCGCTCCACTCCAGCTTGGGGATCATCCGGCTGACAAACTGAGGGTTGAAATCCACCTCATTCACCTTCACCTCTGTAGCCTGCACAAAGGAGACATCAGGAGGAGAAATAACACATTAGAAGTGTGGACATGGACATGGACACACATACACCTATTTTACATAATAAACCCTGATAGATTACTCTACAGGGCCGGTTAATTGAGATTTCCCATACGTTATATTCCTTAAATGTAAAACAGGTACAGCTTATTGTCACATGTGTAATTTACACATTTGAAGCAGTGGCTTTAAAAAGAACAACCTATAGTGCTTTGCAGAAGTTTTTTCTTGACATTATGGGTGTTTTTGAGGGCAGTATAATTCATGTTTTACAATGAAAGTTTAGAAACTCAAACTAAATGGCTGAGATATATATAAAGGATTTGTAGCAAAAAGTGTGGGCGGTTGTTGTTATTTTATTTGGTTGTTGCTTCTGTTAACATTTGTTAATAGAGAAGTTCTGTATTATTAAGCTAACCTCTATTTGGCTTATTATTAAAAATAATCAAACAGACACCTACCACTGACAAAGTATCAGTAGCTTTAAAGTTAAATCATAAACACAAGAGGGCATCATTAGACTGTGATGCTTTTAGTCAGTAGTGTTAGCATTAGCAACTTAGCTAACTGTCAGTTTACCTTGATGAGCAGCGGGTATCCTTTAGTGACTCCCTTCACGTGAGATGTCAACATGTTGTGCGTGAGTAGCTTCATGTTCACAAACAGCTGTCACCGATTCAAATGTATGTTTTCAGGTAAATGGGCACTGAAGTCTATTGACTACGATTAGAATAATCACGCTGCTTGGTTTACATGCGGACCGGAAGTTCATCTGGTGCATCGCTGAAAACCTTCCCCGAGCTCCCCTGCCGTTAGTTCCTCGTTGTGGCCGGTATATACATTTTTTTTTTACTAAAGCCTTTTTGCACTGATTTAGAGAGTTATTAAATTAAATGATCATGGAATAATATTACAAAATTATCAAAAAATGCTCATAGATCGCATTCTAAGCCAAGATATTGTTTATATTCTACCGTCCGTAACCATTATCAGTTTTTATTTAGCCATCCCCAATAAGCAAGACACTATACTACAAATTCTCCTGATTTGCCTTTATATTTTTGAATGAACTATTCCTTCCTTACCATTAATGCATGAACTGCACATTTCTGTTGCTTTATGCAGATGCTGCATTTTTAATACACGTCTTTTTTGTCTTTAATATATCAGTAGCCTACATTTCTCTTGTGTAAAAAATAGGCTATGCAAAATTATTTTGAGAAACATACATGAGGGGGTCGTTGGTATATTCTCTATATTATAAGGGGCCCTGGATGAAAAACCAAAGGAGAAACCTGTACCCTTAAATGTATTCCTTTTTTTCTTTGGTAATATTTACAATTATCACGGGCAAACTATTATTCTAATTGTTTCCTCAAGTTAGCTAGGCTATAGCAAAAATGTCAGACAAAGATGGCGTTCCTTTTTTATACTCAAATTTTTTATTTTTTTGTATTAATTTTGTATACTCCTCATCTTTGTATTATACAGGTCATTCACACAGTTTATGATATCGTAAATAGTAATTACACACAAGAGGTGTAACAAGCATCAACCTGTCACCTTCACAGACGTGCATCATGCGCGCACACAAACACACACTCATTCTCACCCACTGACACACACACCAACACACTCAAACAGGGACACCTATCCCTTACACTGAATAAACAAAAAAGATACAAATGTAAAACTTTTTTAAACCACAAAACCCCCAATTTCTTGTATCCTCTATCGTCACCAGATTCACATCCTTTTAACTCTTATTTTAAAAATGAGTATGACAATACTTTATGCTTTAACAGAATAAAAACAAAACAAAGAAACATAAAAAAATGCAGGAAGGCAATTAAAGGAGAGGGCGAAGCAACACTGAAGAGTTGGTTAATCCAGACACCAGTTTTTAAATCTTAATGGAAACAAGAAGCACAAATGAGCTGCAAGGCAGAAGGAAGAACCACTGGCTGACATCTGGACTGCGAGTTACAGAGAGCTGAAACTTTACTTTGAAAAGCTTTAAATTAGTTTAATGTGCTACAGAGTTTAGAGGCTTCATTTGAGCTGTATCTCTGTTCAGTCGGGAAACATGTTCTCAGTGTGTCCATGTCAGCCAGTGTGTGTTGTACGTGAATCGTAGCAGGGAGGGTGCAGGTTTTGGAAAGGCAACACTAACTAGTTAAAAAGGGCACTGCAAGCTTTATGGCACAATTAACAACACTGAGAGATGCAGTGGAGCCAAAGCTGAACAAATGATGTGGTATAAGTCAGAGGGACAAGCATCTGCAGACATCTGGAAGGTGTTAGCAAAGGACACTTCATTAGGATGTCACACAATCTCCACTATGAGCATCACTGGACAACAAGTAGACCAAAGGGTGGGTTATATCATGTGCCAGCTCAACACATCACAAATAAAGTAAACTGTTCTCAGCTAGTCATGGGTGAATTATAATAAAACGTGATTTCCGGCATAAGTTCAACTTCTTCCTCCAACTTATACTAGATAATGGAAGAAAGAGAAATCGTGCCAGAAATCACTTCTTTCATTTAAAATACAAACAGTTTCAACAGCACAGTTCAAAGTACATGATGTGCCCACAATCTGTGTCTTACTTATGAACAAGCAAACCTTGAGAGTGTTGATTAAAATGAAGCCAGTTGAGTGACGGTGATATGTTTTCACAGACAGTAGGAGAATCTACTGACCTGTGTATAACAGAGGAACATGAGGATAGTTCTTACAAAACGAATTGTTTATATCTGGTGAGTCCATGTATGATGGAGCCAAATGAAACACTGGTAACTGCAGTCGTTGCTTTGTTTTGCATTAGAGCGAACACTGACTCTCATTAGTCCATACACACATGCAAATACGCATTCAAACCGTGGATTCGCTCCCTTAGCTAGAATCTCCACAAATCAGATTCTCTCACACACACTCTCTCACACAGAAACATAGAAGTTGTCATCATTCTTGGCCGTCGGTGCGCCATTTCAGGAAGTCCTCCTTCCGGGCGTCTGGTTTGATCTGGTTCCTCATGCCACCGAGCAGATTGGAGGTTGCTTCAGAGGCCACTATTAAAGGTCGGACCACGGTGGGCGGGATCTGCCGCAGGACGCCGCCCACAGCGCCGGGCAGACCCTTCTGTTCGTGGCCGCGGGATGCTACATCGCACAAGGTCTGAGCCGTGTCAATCACTCCCTGGAGAGCAGTGAGACAGAAGTCAAAATATTTAGTGTTTCAGTACATTGACGTACATAAACATGAGAAAAAAGTTCTCATGTCTCAAAATAAATATCCATGCAAAGAGAGAAATCTAGCTGAAGCAATCTGGTTTCTCTAACCCCTAGCGCTGTTTATGTAAATACATTTTTTGTATAAGAAGATAATTAAATAGAATGGAAAGTGAGAAAGTGAATACGCTGAAAGACGAGCAGGTGACTGCTTATTTTTGGACCCTCTGTTCTCTAAAAGTTTCCATAATCATATTTGAAGGGAACATTTGGGTACGCACCTCTCTGACGGTGTCGTAGGCCTTGGCCACGCCCTCTCGCAGGTCTGCGGGCTGAGCGGCTCTGCGGGGCCGGCTGGAGGGGGCCCGGCCCTCTGTGATGGCAAAGCGGTTCAGGGGGGGAGTGGGAGACAGTATGTCGTACACCGTCTCTGCTGTGGCCTGTAGGAGCACACAGACACCAGAAATAAAATACTTGCGTATTCCAAAAGAAAAACTGAACCCAAATAAAACTACGTGGTTAAAAGTGTAGTTATAACAGCAGCAATTTGATTATGACCATTACTATACAGTTCTCCAATAATGTATTTGGTAGCTACATACTTTTGTCCCATTACACCTGGCACTAAAGAAACTAATAAAAACAATCATTTTGAAAACCTAAAACAAAACTAAGATGTTTGTTTGCTAAACCATTTTAACTGCATGTTTCATATCTAGCACCAACGCAACTCTGGTTTACATTGTTGACCTGCACTAAACCTCCTCTCAGTGCGAGTACCTGTATGGCCTGCACCAGCCTGTTGCTGAGCTCCAGAGCAGCTGAAGCTGTGGACGTCCCGAAGGAGGCTGCCCCCCTCTGGAGACCTCGGATAATACGCCCGTCCTTCCTGTACTGCTCTATGGGCAACCAGAACAGATCCCTCACTCCGTGGACTGGAGGAACACAAAGAGATGGAAGAGAATGAACCAAGAGATAAAACATGATAACAAAGTGTTAAGCAGCGTGTTTGAGGCAGTATCGACTCACACAGCTGGACCACTGAGTGCATGGGACCCACTCCTCCCAGAATGCCCGGCAGCTGATTCTTCCTGATGTCCGTCAGCCACTCAGTGACGGCGTACTGGATCACTTTATCCACACCGAGGAGACTACAAAGGGTTGAAGAAGAAAGATTAAAACAAAATATGCCCCTTTAATTGTACTAGATGCAAAATATAACAATTATAAATAAATGAAAGGACTGTATATGTTTTAAAATGTGTGCTTTTTAGTATTTAATATGTACAGTAAAATCTCATTTCTAATGTAAGGCTTGATAATGTCCGTCCTTTCTATGGAGTCATTTTTAGTCTGTGAATATTTTTGACATAACAGTGCAATACACTTTTGATCTAACGCAGGCTGAGAACTACATGTTTGTGAAGGTCTGCAGTTTCTGTAGATATTGTGTTTATGTCTGGTGTGCTTTTGGTATATCAATGGAGTATGTATTTGTACCCGTGTCTGCAGCAGAGCCTCTTCAGCTTCAGCTCAGAGCAGTTCAACTGGGCCAGACCAATCAGGATTCCTGCAAACGTTCCCTGTGAAGCAAAGAGCAGGTCAGAAAATAAAGATAGCGTGGACAATTGTTTTCCTCATCAAATACTCATAAATCCTAAAGATGTCTTTAAGGCAGTTTGAGTGACCTCTCACCTGTTCAATGACAACATGTTTGCCTTGATAGTCAAGCCAGATAGGCACTTCAGAGGTGAATCGAAACTCCCTGAAAATTGCAGAGGATAAAAAAATTGTTTTTGATTCGCACAAACAAGCATTGCTTCAAACACGCCACCTTTTTCCCTTTATTTAAAAAAAAACGGAATCAGACTTTCTTCGAGCGTTTGGGTGTATAGTGTTTACGTACCGGAAGTAGATGGGCTGGTCGGAGGAGGAGGTGGAGCCGGCAGAGCAGGAGCTCTGCTCGCTGAAGGTGGTTTCAACAGACGCTGAGAGGTCAGGTCCCAGACCAGCCTCCGCCTCCTCAGGGGCCTTCTGGGAGGGGTCTGCTTTCACTGAAAAATAAATGGTAAGGAATATAAAAAGAAACATATTTATTGGAGCATTTCTTATTTCATATAGAATATGTTTTGCAGACAGTGAGAAACATATTGCTGCAGTGATGATAAGCAGCCCCCAGATCTATAGAGATAAAGCCCTTAAAACACGAATGGACGACAATTGATGAAATATGCAGCAAGGAATTAAAACATCATCAGAAGAGGCTCACCTTCGGATGCAGGGTCCACAGGCAGGTAAGGGTTAACATAGGAAGCTAGACTGCTGAAAAAGTCCTTCAGGAAAAACAGTGCGTCCTGGACAGGGGGGGGGGGGACGGGACAGGTAGATTAGTTACAACTGAAAATCAACACTTATTGGTAGAGTATATAGTTTAAGATGAAGTTTTCTCCAATGCTGTTATGATGTCATAATAAATGCATGTGGAGTTTTTCATTGCCATATCTGCACTGTAGCTAATGTGCAGATGACAATAAAGCCTTGAATTAATTGAAATGCTTGTAAAAAATGAAATGCTAAATAATGTCTGCAAACAGAGTTGTATGTTTCTGTCATTTACTTTCTTAATTTTCTACAAAAAAGCAACATTTCAGGCTCTACTCAGACACGTCTGGGTGTCATGGCGTCAGTAGTCTCAGGAGCAGCGGTTACCTGGTCGATGTTAAGACGTAGAGGCAGCAGGCTGATCCGAAGACAGCACTCCGGTCCACCGAGGCCAGACTCTGGACAGACCTGCAGGGCCTTCACCGTCAGCTGCAAGAAGTAAACGCACAATCAATATCATAGGATCAAATCATTTCAATAGGAAAGTATCTGATATTCCATGAGCTTCAAATCAGTCCCTCTGACCTCACCCCCCCCACCCCCTCTCTGCTGTCTCACCATGTTGGAGTGGGCTCGGCGCGGCATGCTCTCGCTGGTGTAGAGGTAAAGGAATTTGTTGAGTTGTGAGGAGGCCAGTCGGTCTCGGACCTCCAGCTCCTGGACGATGAACACCTGTCTGGAGAGGGGCTGCTCGCCCCCGGGGCCCACGCCAGCCATCAGGAACCCCTCCCCCTCCTGCCCCGCTACTGCCCCTGGGTAGGACTCATGCTGGAAGGACACCTGGAGGACAGAACAGGAGGAAGGTGTTGAAGAAGGTTAATATTATATGTTAAAATGTGTTTGTTTGGAACTGGTGAAGTAATAAGGGAAGCAGCACTGCTAAGTTTCAGGTTGAATTTAAATTGATTAGTTTGACGGTTTGATGATCCTTCACCAAGAGTTATATGAGAAGATCAATACCACTTAAATGTCTGTATGATTAATATGTATAGCCAGCTCAGCATAAAGACTCCATATGAGAGAAGTATCAATCTTCTCTGTAGGAAAGTGAATTTAACAAACTGTCAACGGTTCCTTAAATCACCCTTTCACATTTTGATCAATTGACAGCCATAAAAAAACTGATAGCAATAAAACACATGAGTTTGAATTTAAGATAGTTTGAGTTGAACAAATGGATAAATGATGTATGTTTTTTTGTCAAACCATTTTATTTGCTAAATAAATAAATATATTTAGATAAACTAACCTACAACTATGTATCTTCTCAGTTTAATCACAATGTAGTAGATGTATGAATCTACCTTGGTGAGCTGGATCTCCATCAACAGTTGGTGCTGGCGGCCGCTGCCTCCGGCCCAGCGCCACGAGTTCTGGGGACGGGAGGTGGTGGCCGAGCGAGACGGGGACCCCCGAACTCCAGCGGGGGCTGAACGACCTCTGCAGAGAGAACATGAGATGTTGAGAGAAGAGTCAAATAAAAGGATACAAATCTAACAAACACACACAGGTGAAACATTCTCATGACCATTGAGGTATATTTTCTTTGAGGAGCTATATTTCTGTGCATCTGAGAAACTACTTGTGGCCTGGTGTTTGTGTTACCTGTTAGTGTTTTGGGCATGTATTGACATGGGCTTGCCCCCAAAGTCCTTGCCCCCGTAGAGATGCCAGACCACGGAGATCTCCCTCAGCACAACTCTGCTCTGCGGCACGGGGAAGCGGCTCGGCGCTCGCAGCAGGTCTGAGCTGCCTCGGGGTCTGGAGAAGTGACTCTCCTTCAGCTTGATGGGGCCCTCGGACAACACCGTCACCACGGGCTCCCCGTCCCGCGGCTGTAACAAATCCCAGGTTTGGTTATTTCACAGAGTAATAAAGATTCCCCATTGCACATTTATGGGCTGACTCGTATTTCTGATTTTTGAAAGGTCTGACCAGCCAATTTTATTTTCTGTGTAACCTTTCTTACATGAAAAAAATATGAAACTAAATTGTATGTTCTTACAAAATATTGAATCTCTCACTCTCACATTTTCTCCAAATCCGCCCCTAGTAACAAGACCTTCTCTTACTCTCACTCAAACAAATACGAAAAAATAAAAGCACTTGAAATAAAAATTCCAACAATATATAATCCAATATATTCTCTTCACTCAAGCTGTGAGCGCCACTGTGCTAAAGATTAAATCATCATGTTGCACAGGCGCATACATTTCGTTAGAGTAACAGCCCTGTGAGTAAACATACGGGAGTCATGCTTTGAGGTAAAGTGAGCTAATGGGTAAGAATGACTTTATAAAAAGACCAACAGGACCACGGTATCAGGCAGAAACTCACAGGAATGCCCATCCCAGGGGCCTCCAATATGCAGAAGTCATCGTTGTCGGTCGAGCCGTCGGATCCTTCCTCAGACATCATATCTGCCTGCGCCTCTGTTGCTGTGGCAACCAGTCCATCAAGCTCAGCGTCCTCAACCAGCAGGACGGAGGGGCTTCGCTTCGGGGCCTCGCCCGGGAACAGGTAGACAGAGACGGGCGAGCCTCTGGGCATGGAGGGTGAACCTGGAAGAAGAACCATTGGTACTATAAACACTCTCTCCATAGAGAATGAACACCTCCTGTGCACGTGACCAGTGTGGAGTTATGACCATGAACTAAAACTGAAAGTAGAAGAATTAGCAGGGAAAACATTTTAAATAAGTAAATCAAAATGATTTTTTTTCAGTTTTAGATAATATATACTACCGATAAAAGGAGATTGTGACATTGGACCACAGAAAATGATCAGACTTTACATTGACGAGAGAGAGCATGCTTTACACTCAATCCCTTTAGTTTTCTCATGCACTGTGGTCTTATAGAGTTCTCTTTTTTCCAAGCACATTTTGATATATCTGATTAATAAGTATTTAATAAATAAGATCAGTTTGTATCACTTTCCAGACCCAATTCAAATTCAAAACAAATTATGGACTTTACTTCAAAATTCAAAACAATGTATTTTGCAGGTATACTGCAGGGAGCTGCAAACCACGACTCCAGAACTACATATCAACTAACTAAACCTTTAAAGCTGAAAATAAACTTGAACTAGCAAACACTCTGAGAATCAGTGGCACGGTGCATACTGTTTATTATAACGTTTTTATTGCATTAGTGAAATAGTTTCATGTTTCTTTTCCTGCCTAAAAGTTCAGTTTATTTGGACAATACACTCCTCTATGGGTCAAGCTTTACCAGAGTTTTATAGCACATGATGAAACCACCTTAAATAAATAGGCCCACAACCCTCTTCCTTTATACCAGGAAACATGGGTGATTGCAGAATTTCACTGAATCAAATCCTGTTTGGATGTTGAAAAGTGTAAAAAGAGAAACTGTACCAGGATCTGAGCTCTCTTCTCTGTGGCTCTTCTCCGTGTCGATTAAGGCATCAGCGAGGTCGTACTGGTTGATCTCTGCAGTTTCAGCTGGAGGGCAGGGCAGCATCGCCGCAGGACTTTCTGACAACTAACAAAACAGAAAAACAAATAAAACATTTAGAAAGTGACATGGCATCTTAATAATACTTTTCAACATTGATGGAACTGTTATATATAAGACTGCCACTATTAAATGAGTTATCTATTCTTAATGTAGGAATTCCTACGGGAAGACAAAACTGATTATTTCTCAAGGCTCCTACACATTTTTAGTTTTTCAGACTTTGTGGTAGATTTTTTTAGACCATATTTTACATCTGAAGAAATTGAAATATGTTTATATGAAAATAAATTGTTATAAACTTTAACTGTAAACATGTATATCACATAATGACATGTACGTATGCTACTGTCTGGCCCAGTAATTGCCAGAAAATCGTAGCTAGGTACTGTAGCTCATGCAAACTCAAATCATGCAAAAAATGTGCTCCAAATCTAGTTCAATGTGCAATGTTTTATCCAAGCTGCTATGCTAAAACTTTACAATGTTATTCCGTTTTTCTCATGTACATCTAAACATCTGTAAACCTTCAACCGTCACGAGCAATTTCTATATTCTTAACAACCCATTTTAATTCTCTGTTGACTTACTGGTAATTTCTGGCCAGCGATTTCGGTGGGTGAGGTGTGTCGCGGCGGGGGGTGCAGGTCCCCCTGCGAGACGAGGTACTGCAGCAGGTTGACCAGGGCGGCGCAGGAATCAGCACAGGTGTGAACGTGAACCACATTGTTGGAGCATCGGAGCTCGAAGAGAGGCTGAGACTGGAGAGCAGGGGGAGGAACCACAAGAAGCACATTTCATTAATATCAGCAGAATCACCTTTTCATTCCGAACACCTCTCCTTTGGAATCGTCTTCCATTTCAGATCCGAAGCTATTTCCGTTGACTCCTTTGAAAACAAACTCAAAACCCATCTCTTCGCATCTGTCTTCCTTGTAAACTAATTTCCATCACCTAGTTTCAGCTCATCATTACCATCACTTCAGTCACATGCTTTTATCACATGGCAATACTTATGTTGATGTATAATGTTTTTATAATTTTTATGCGATGACGTATATATATTTATTTTTGTTTGCTTTGTACAGCCCTTTGAGGCATTTCTTGTGATTTGGGGTTATAATACATTTTGAATTGATTTTTTTATTTGATTTGAATCAATAAAGATGGTGACAGCGAGAGTCGTTATTTGATGGGAGGGATGACGGGAAGGAGAAAGAAAATAACAATAAGGTAGAAAATACTTATACACTGGAATACTACAAGCTTAACATGGATAGAGCCCAAAAGAACAGACTAGACACATTTGACGTAGAAAACATTGTTACATAACAGAGCTTAAACTGGCCTTCTTCACATCTGTACACTTTGTTACTGATTGTTGTCACATGACGTGTTTACTGTCGCCTTGTTGGTTTCCCTGAAGCTATTATTATAAGCGAACTGGTCAAACTAATATCTATAAACACAGGGCCTGTGCCTTTTATTGGTTTTTGAAAGGAATTGGATAATAACGCTTTGTTTCCCTTTACATTTTCACAGGCAGGGGCAGCCTTTTTCTTTCCCATTTGTCTGTGGCTGCTGTGAATGTGTCCCAGAAATGTAAACAGCGAGCACTCACCAGCTTGCCCGTATCGCTGCCTTTCCATGTAGTGATGGCGAGCTCCAGCAGGTCAATGTCCAGAACACACACATAGTCTGTGTGACACAAAAACACACAGTGGTTGTTATTAGGGTGACAGCGATTGTTATTTATGTAATTTATAATAACTACTGAATCTGCCCTTATAAAAGACGTGCCAGACTGTAAGATGACTTCATTTACTAACACTTGTCAGAAAAGTTACTCAAGTACAAACGCTTTTACTAAAGCAGCAGACATGTTTAACTTCTTTAAAAGTCAAGTGAACTTGCTACATTTAGATTACATTTTTTTACCCCAAAAGAATCACCATAACTAGGTGAAGCTGCTGCTATAGTGGGTATACAGTGGGCATTTTTAAACTGGGTTGTATGAGTTCCATACTAGGTGTATACTTATAGATAATGGCGGTCAGCACGCCCAATTTGGAGAAACAGACAGAAGTAGAGGGGCAGGAGCAAGGCAATGTATTGCTGTGGAAAGCAGCAATACATCGTGTTATAGCAACAACAAAAAAGTCAGTATTTCTTTAGGGGAAACTATATTTAGGTTCATTGCTTTGCCTTGCTGTCAGAAGACCTTTTCATCAAACTGAAGCCGTTTGACATTCTTTCTTTGAAGACCCCAGACTCCTAAAATAATCAAGTAGTGTAACCTCGCAGAACTCAGGAGTTGCCTGTCTACCGCTTCCTCGACGGGTTGTTTGTTTTATTTTGTGAATTTGGTCAGTCCAGCAAGATCAGCAACTCCTGTGTTATGCGAGGTAAGTTACTGTTTTGGTCGAAGGAGTCTTTGAAGAGATATTTTTAGGTGGTTAAATATGTTTTTCTGCTGCCCCCATCCACAGCCCCACATTGCTTGCGTTCCTTAAGGTCTGCTTGCTTCTCCAAAATAGGGTTGTTCCGACACTCCTCTACTGCAGATAAAACACTGACTGATTACCCCATCTCAGAATATCTGAACTATCCCTTTAAGTGTGAGCTGCAGCTGTTCTGTTGTTGACTTCAGGCTAACCAGCTCTGATATAACTCACACTCACAATGTTGGGAAAGTCTCCATAGACCAAGGGTACGGTATGTGCAACGCAGCTAACAAACATTCTGACACTGTGTTGTTTTCACTCATCAGGAATTGATTTGAACATATGGTATACACAAGAGTGGTGGAATAATTAAAAGTACTAATAACACAATTAAAACAAACTATTATTATTAATATTAATCCAGTAACATGTAAGATGCAGTTAAATGTTGTTGCTGGCTGACATAGAGCCGATTTTAATCATTGTTTATTCTGTTCATTGGTTAAATGTACTGTATAACAAAGCATTGTATTTGATACACTCATAAGATGAATATCAAAACATCTTCTTATATAAAGTAACTAATGTCATCAATGGAATTAATGTAGTGGAGAAAAGTAGAATATTTCCCTCTGAATATAAAAATGAGATACATTTACTTCATTACTTTTCACCACAGATAAAGTGATATAAAGAAACCCCACTCTCTGTCATGTGACTAACCTCTCCTCAAGTCCACAACGTCAGTCTCACATTTGTCAGAGAGGTAGAGAGCAGAGTCATCCAAGATGAATCTGACAAAAACAAAACAAAAACAAAACTTAGACAACAATCTTACACTGAGTCACCAGCTCATATAATGTGATACAAACTGATAGCATTAAAAATATGTACTCTTTATTGGACCCCTGTCATGTTCAGTTAGAGGTGGACTGTACCTGAGGTGAAAGGTGGCCGTGTCTACGATGATGTTACTGGACAGAGAGAAGGACTCCGCTGTGAACAACACGCGCAGCGGCAGGTACATAGGTCTGGGAAACAAGAAAACAAAATAAATGATCATTTTACCAACCTTTTTTAAGTCCATTTTAATTGAATAACATTTACTTTACAGGTATATCAATTAGTTTAGAGTCAAACATATAGATATAGAAGACACATATATGAAATACTCTGCATAATTGACATGTCAATATTCTGACACTAATATTTTGCACATTCTATGTACCGGTACAATTTTTTGCACTAATGTAGTACATTCTCAAATATTGAAGTGACTGTTATTTTGTATATATTGATTGTTGTGTTTTTATTTAGGTCTTAATGTGTGCACATGTAAAAATGTGTCTTTGATTTTGTGTATATATATATATATATATATATTTCTATATACATTTTTTTTTTATATTCAGGATTGTGGAAAACGGTATTTCGATCTGTCTGTACACACATACTGGAAGATTGACAATAAAGTTGACTTTGACTTCTATAGTAACTTTTCAGCCAACCATACAATGCACACATACATAAAAAAAACTGTTTATAATCCCGTCCTAATCCTACAGCACTCATACGTGCTACAGCAAACAGACATGCACACAAGCAATGCTTTAAGACAGTTTTAAAAATCTAATGAAGTTGCAACGGATCTGAGGCATATTATTTACCTGTAGTCGACCGCACAGGTAGCGAGGTGTGTGTGGAGGACAGTGATGACGGCGGGGGCTGTGTATCCCAGAATGGGATCATCAATGACATCCAGAAAGTCCACCAGCTGTGACAAACAAACACAGAGTCAGCTGGCAGGCCAAACAGCCAAAGACAAACATTTTGAATTCGACCACATCATTTAATTTGGTATGGTTTGCATTTTTCTGCACAACCCAAATGGTTTAACTAGAAGATAAAGCAGAACAAATTGCTGAAATAATAATAATTAGGCTGCAGCCTTATTGGGTAATTCAATTTGTCATTAAATCAAACTTTACTGGGTATAATCATCTTTTGGAGCAAAAACAGCAAAACAATTCTAAGTCCGGTGATTTAGTACTGGAGGGAACGCAGGCTGGTGTTACTGCACAGACAAGATAATGTTCATGTGTGCAAGATCTCTGCATTCTTCTTTTGAATACTTCATTTCTAGATAGAAAGTTGTTGACTGTTCTGCATTATGTTTGTCTGAAATATGTAGGGACAATATTTCCCCATTCTTAGCACCTCTACAATGGCAACCAGTTGGATTCAGAGTTGATTTTAAGGCTGTACTCTTTGTCTTTAAAGCACGGAAAGGTTTAGCCCTGAGGTATATTGCTGCCCTTTTATCTTTGTCATGCTAGTTTAGCAAAAGCCACAGTTGCAAGCCCATTTTCAGAATATACAGTCGATTGCAAACTGCACAATATTATACTCCTCTGACACACTCTGCTCCATTTCTGCAAGAGAAATAAGCATATCCCTCTCAACATCGCACTCCACATTCATACATTTCTATTTCTGCATGAAAGTGGAATGTCAAAAATGTGTGTCTAAAGAGAAAATAATGCTTTTTCTGGCATCAAATCATTCAATCTGACATAAACGTCCACGAGAGTTGAAAATACTTCAGCTGTTTCTCTTTCCAAGTTTACAACTTCAGTGGGCAAGTAATCATGAAATATGTAAAACACCATGAAATGCCCAGACTATAAATAAAACAGAAAGTGAATGATACATTGCCAGTAACTGGTTGTGCAGGGAAGGAAATCAACACTATTGAGGAATAGAAAGATATTGAGAGACTCTACTCTCCATAAAGGCTTGTGTCTTTATGTTTTCTCATACTGCTGCTCACCTGCTCATGCCAGCTGTGATTGGTCGGTGCCATGTAGTGCCTCATGGTGGCACCTTGAAGTCGAAGGGCAACTAGGAACTCCTGAAAGGAGAGATGTAAACATTGTTTCATTTCAAACTTGCAACAGAAGCAAAACCAGGTGTTTATAGAGTACGTACCTTAACACCCCTCTGTGGGTCCAGTGTGACTTTGATGGCTGTGGACAACATCTGCAACTCCCCCTCCTTTCCGCTCACACTGCTCACCCCCACCTCTGTGGGGTAGATGGTAGGGTCCAAGTGCTTTGGGGGATTGAATTTGGGTATTTCCAACCGCTGTGGGATGGGGGTGTCTTTCACCACCGCTGTGTTGGGGTAACAAACAAAGTTATGACCACGATGAACATTAAAAGAGCCATTCTGATGTTTCCATGTCAGTGTGTAATCTGCAGTAGATGGCGGTTGGTACGCCACAGTTATGAGAAACAGACTGAGGTAATCAATGTCCTGCTCTGAATGGGGACACAATGTCTTCTAATGTATTTTAGCCACCACAATTATTTTAGTGTAAGCTATATAACAAAATGTCCTTGCTTTACCTCGCTGGCAGACAGATATACAGTCTGTGTTTCCAGCATGGAGCTGAATTTGTTAAATGTATACACTCTCTTAAAAGCCATCAGACTCCTGAAAAAGTGTTTTTACCACCCAGAACACAGAAGTTACTGGTCTACTGATGCCCCAATAGTTTTTCTGTTTGTGTTATTTTTTAACGTTTTATTTTGGATTCAACATCGTCGCAAAATAGATGCTCTTAAATATGTTTTGCTTCTGGCACGTTCACAGCAGTATAATGCTTCTTTTTTAAATGTATATATGGAGAGTGGGTGTGTGTCGACTGCCCTCTATTGACTGTAATACACTGACATGGTACAAAATATAATCCCCAATTTAAAACTATCTCTCAACATTTTCTACATTGCATCCAATCTACCTGAACATTAATTAACAATCAAATGTTTGCAAACAACATAACAATGTTTACCTTTATGGTATAGCTCCACTCGTCGGCTCTCTATACACAGGAAATTGAGATTGGGGTCGTTCTGGTGCTGCGCCACGCTGAATATCTTCCCCCCTTCCAGGTCAAGCACAATTTCCCCATGACTCTGGTCCTCCTGAAACAATGAAATACAATTGAAATATATAAAAAAGTCAAAGCAATCAAACATTGTAAATGGACCAAGCCAGATCAGTTTTTAGGTTGTGTAAATAAAGTCCAGTCTCAGGTCCAGAAGTTGTGATATTGGGAGCCGCTTACCTTCTTGTCTGTTCTGGTTTGCAGGCGCCCTTTGCTGATGATCACAGTGAGGGAGAGGAGGCTGAGGTTGTGGTTGGGACGGGGGAGCTTTTGTCTTTCCAGATGAATCACTGGCCAAGAAGAACTGAGGGTCGTCCTCGTCTGAATCAGAGTCTATGGTAGAGAGAGAAGACATATTAAGCTTGCTTAGTTAATAACAAATGTTTTGGCAGGTTGGTATTATATCTGTTTTGCTACATGATGTTTTTCCATCAAAGCAGTCAAACTCACCCAGTCTAAAGGCCGACTTGCAGAGCTGGAACTCTTCGTGGTGCTGGCGGCTGTGCTCGGGGCTGCTGGCGGAGGGGGGGGGGCGGCTCCCACATCAACAGATCATTATTGATCCTTTTGGACAAAGGGGAGGGTGAGGAACAATAATGTTACTTCAGATGCAGTATTCAAATATGAACAAACGTGGAAGGTATTTCTAACAAAACAGTCCTACATAAGCAGCTCTGAGGACAAGAGCAGTAAAAAAAACTTGACCAAATTCTGTGTTTAACTTGTCGAACAATACAAATATATTCTCTTGAAGATAATATACAACATACTGTAGTGTCGACGTACCTGTTGTAGAAGCTCTGGAAGGCCTGTTTGCTGGGCAGGAGGATGTAGGCCAGCGGCAGGTGGATGTCCACCGCACACTGACACTGAGCGACACACTGCGCCTGAAACTGACGCATCTCCTCGGGGTCGGCTGGAATCACCATCTAAAGAAAGAAAGGAAGTAGGAGGAGAGACGAGGAGGGATGAGTTTGGTCTGAAATTGTGATAAGATGGCAGATAAATAGGTGTTCTTTGTGCGCACCTCCTCAGTCTCAAACATGGTGCGGTTGGAGGAGAACGGGGAGCTGGTTTTGTCGTTAATTTCACAGTGACTTTCAAAGAAGGCGGCCCCCAGGTCACTGATGAGGTTCATCCCCCCCAGACCTGCTGCCGGGCCCTGAGGGTCCCCTCCACGCACACGCACCGATATCCTGCCCACAGGAAGAGCAAAGTGAGTGATAATGGCTTGTGGGACAGAAAGCATTTATATTTTGTCTCATTTCAAGAGCAAGAATGATTGATTTCACATGACAACTTTTCCTTTAAGAGAGCTTTGCTACTGTAAAGTGCTGAGTTAAATTAGAAAGCTTTATTAATCTCCGCCAGGGAAACTCATTTGTCACTTAATTAACTCAGACATACATTCACACTACACAGCAGATACAAATACAGAGAACAACAAATACATATCCTATAAAGAGCCATTTGAGACATAATTAACATCTGAAAGAAGCTACATCTAAAGTCCACATATACAAAGTAAACACAGTGTAATAGATGTCACTCAAGAAACAGAACATTTTCTAGATATCTCTCATATTGTGAATTATGTATCTATTCCTCTCATAATAACCATGACTAACCTCGGTGAAGAGTCGCGGTTCTTTTTCACTCTGATAAAGGGGAAAGAGCCGCCCTCCCAGCCCTCGTATGACCCTGGGGAGACACAACACATAATTTCTCTGTCGGCATTTATTTATACGGGAAGGGAATAACTGTAGCTTTTACAGCTTTTAATAATGAATTGTATTCTATAGAACTTCGTGCAACAGCGAAAACTAAAAGAGCTACTGTCAACCTTACATATGAAGCCCTTAGCAACATTGAAAACACATTGGATTGTCTCCGTCAGGCATTGGTCAGTGTACTGTCTCATGAATATTCAGTCAGCTACTGTACAGGGCTGTGTGTTTTCCCACCATGCAGGTCAGTGAAGGAGGCCTCCAGCAGCTGTGTGAGGCAGGGGGCCCACGGCTCCCCCACCGCAGGCTGCTCGCTCTGGAGGTCCGGGGCCTCCTGGTGCTTCAGCTCCAGCTCCGTCAGCTCCAGCACGAGAGTCTCCTGCCGCACTGCCCTCTGGGTAGGAGGGCGACGCTTAGGGAGGGGCCGCAGGTCGGGTATGGGGAAACGAAGCCTGAGGATGGCGTGTGGGGAGAGGAGGGAGAAGGAGGAGTACAGCTCGCTGCTCTGGGTCTGAGGAGAGAAAGGGAAAAACTGGTGAACAAGGATTTTAAGATATGATTCATTCACAGGGTTACAGACAGTAGTCAGTTTTGTGGTAATCACTATTTAAAGTGGACCTATCATGCTATATTTGAATAATATATTGTAGGGCCATACCTATATAAAACATGTCTGTGAAGTTTTTTTTTTTAAATACCAAACAGATCATGTATTTTAGCCATGCCTCATTTCACTCTATTTGCTCTATTCCAGCCCTGTCTTCACAAGGGCTGATTCTGTGGCAAATGAGCTGCAGCTGACCACGCGCCCCTGCAAAGGAGGGGGGCGAGGCACAAGCGTCATGTTACCATGCTGTTACCATGCCACGCAACCTCTCATTCCCCTGATAGGTGGAGAGTTGGCCATATAGGCGGAGCTCCCCGTTTCTGACGTCAGAGATATTTCAAATCTGTATCAGTCTGTATCAGATCCGTTGCAGCCCCGTTTTTAGAGATTTGGGTATGGAGGAAAAGAGAGAGGGTTGTGTTTTCTGACACTTGGTGAGTTCCCTGACACACTTACAAAAGTGCATTTCCCTTTAAGCTTTACCTGCAGGCAGCAGCAGAAAAACGTATGAAAACTGTTTAACTGTACACTATATGAAGAACATTTTTACCACTTTTTACCACCTGTGAGACAGCTCTTCTTAATCTAAACTAACCAAAATCAGAAAAAAATAAAAACCAGAAACAACTTAAATCTGAACCAAAAAGTTCTTGTTTTCTTTTAGGGAAATGCTGTTCATGTTTGTGTCAATAAAAGCATTATTCTATAATAAATATATTTATTGTTTTCAATTGTCATGCGGACTGAACTTTGACGTATTCCTTCTAAGCACTGTGTTTGCATGCATGTGTCTAATTCAGTTACTGATTACTGTATTTTGTAGGGCTCTTCTTTTAAGTAAATATTTTTCCTTATGCTGAAATAAATGCATATAGGGTCCCACCTGCATGAGTCCCGGTGCAGCAGTGTCTGTGGGACAGTGGGCGAAGGCCTTGCTCAGGTTCCCCAGGCGAGTGAGGATGTCCAGGTCGAGCTCAGCGCTCAGCTCTGCCAGCTCCACCCGCACTACACTGTCCCGCCGCACCACTCGCTGTTTACCCTGCCGACACACACATCACACGCACATATTATGGGATAGATTGATATGTTTGTCAGTAACTATGTAACAATGGTTTTTAACTTGAACATGCACATATCAAGTCATGGTTGGCATGTGTGTATAAATACGTACTTTACGCATGTGTTTCTCAGTGAGGCCGTAGTGTAGTTGGGCACATGGTCTGGCTGCAGCTCCAACTGTGAACAGACCGGCTTTCTGGAACTGAAGCAGCTGAAAAAAGACAGAAAGACACACACTGTTCTCTCAAATCTCCCTTATCATCAGGGAAAGAGAACAACAACCATAAACTACTTTCACAAAGCAGGAGCAAGTTGACTTAATTAAACAATTATAGAGATTCCTTTTACATCCCTTCTACACGACATCTTTAATTACCAATGCTGGCTCCAGTCAAACATACATATCATTGATTGTAGTACAAAAGAAAGACAAAGAACAGCTGTGACAGACTGAGATGTCTGATCTTATAATGACCATTTGCGATCGCTTACTGTTTATATTGTTTGATTATGGCTACATTGAAAATATAATGACCAAATATGGACAACCAAACAAAGAAAAAACCTTGGCATGAAGATATATTTAAAGTTTTAGAGTGAACACAGCCACAGTGAGCATCAGACAGACTAATAGATTATATACCTCGCTGTATTGGGGCTTCCCGTCCTCCCAGAGGCACTCTAACAGTTCCAGTCTGCTGAAGGAAAGGTCAGAGGTCACGGCCCGGTTGTGGCGTGACCCACTCCGCATCTCACAAGCAACCTGCACTGCTGCGCCTGTCACTCTGGGGAAGAGGAATCAAGGATAAGTAAAAAAAGAATCATGGTTTTTTGCATTTCAGAAACTAATTTGTTTATTAAGAAAGGGAAGTCTTTCAGTATCTTCAACTAAATCTTTAATGACATTTTCACCTTCCAAAAGCCCCTTGTTATATTAACACTTCACGTCAAAATAACCTTTCTCTCTGTTATTGTTGTAAAACAAAATCATTTGGGAAGCTATGTCCACATAAATAACTCAGAAAAGGCCAAAATGTTTTTCTACCTGAGATGGATTGTGGGCAGGCCTTGGCGAAGCCGCCTCTCAGATGGTGGAAGTCCCTCTCGCTGAACATGCTGTCCTTAAAGAAGGCCAGCTCTCGGAAGAACACCTGAGACACCTGAGCCAACGACGTGGCTTCGTCAGGATTAGAGGGCGGGTCCTCCTGCAGCAGGGTGAGGGTGAGCCCACCGAGTGTCAGACGCAGCAGAGCATCCGGCTTCAGCTGCTCCGCTCCGCTGTGGGAGCGTCCTGCAACCGAGAGGGTTAATGCTCAGTTTTTTGGTTAAAACGATACTTTGGGGGAAGTCTGATGGCATACATTCTGAAAAGAATATAAACAATCTGTCGGAAATGGTCATAAAAAAATAATAACTTTGAGGACAAACCACTACTTGATATGTCTGCGTCCTTCAAAGCTCAGCACTGCAGTGTTTTACCTCTGGTCCGGCCGCTTGCCTGGGGTAGACTCGACAGACAGCCCGCTACAGGATGCCTTCTGGGACCGTTCCCCATGCCCTGGCAGGAAGAAATACTAGTTGAAATCAGACTGCTTGAGATTTGATGGGTACATTTAAAACTCAAGGTCTGGGTGTTGTTCTCTGTGTTTTAGAGCACACATAATACCATAAGATATCTTGAGCTAAAACCCTTTGACGGCTGTACCTGTGCAGACAGTGATGCCGGCTGTGTGAAGCTGGACAGACTGTGTGTCGAGGACTCCATATCGCTGTCTGAGAACTCGCTGCCAGAGCGCACAGACGTCACGCTACTGCTCATTCCAGCAGGACACATGGAGAAAAACATCTCTGCAGGTACACACACAGACACAGAGTGACAAGGTAAATACTACAATGTCACACTAACACTTCAGGGTAGGTGGCTGAAGGGTAATGGTCGTCAGGATTGTTAAGGTCATTTCCAGATCACCACTACTTGACAATCAAGCTTCCTATCTTTGAGTTTTTTTATATACTGACAGACTAAAAAAACTTGAATATGTCAATAAAACTTTTGGCTTGCAACAAATAAATGAACATGTTTGACAGCAATATTGACATCAGGCACGATCAGCTCATTCTAAATTCTGCTGAATATCAAATCAAACTCCTCATCGAACAGACAGCCATCAACTGACTGGCTGCACTTTGCACTGCTACAGGCAGTATGAGGTGATTATGTATCTCAGACATATTTCATATCATATATCTGAGAGTTTATAAGTGGACTTTTGCTTCCCTCAGTACCTCCATTCTCCTGGCAGGTGACGTAGGGGTCCAGGTCGGGCTCAGTTTCCCACTCTCTGTCTCTGGGACTGGAGCCCAGCTGCTTACTGAGGTCCTCCTCAATCAGACGCAGGTCATCTGAGTCCAAGGGCCGACTGAGGGCTCCATCACACTTAGTGTCTGTCTCTGAGGGGGAGGGGACAGACAAACATATTTATGAATGTGTGAGAGAGCCGGGATTAGAGTGGGACCTCACACTCATGAGGAATTTACAGATGTGTGTGACCCTCCAACTCTGAACTACAGAGGAAACAACACACACTTATTGTCTTAGAGTCTTTCTGTCTCTGAAGAATTGTACATTATTGGTGCTAAAGCCTGAGGGCGTTAGTGAGTAGTACATGATAAGCAGTACATTTGTTGTTTTACTTAGTGACTGCATGCATGAATGTAGGCATCATTTGTACATTTTACTCATCGTACAAGTGGAGAAGCAGGTATTTGCTATGTCGTTTGTGAACAGAGAATCACTCGTTTAATCATAACAGGCCTTATCATGACCTGACAAAACTCTGACTGATTCTTTAAATCAGCCATTTCAATCTGAACCTCTTTTAAATCATAGGGGAAAATCACTTATCTTGTTACGTTCCATAAACGCCTGTAAACATTTAACTAACTTATATAATTGAAACAATACAAATTCAACATCATCATTTTTGGAGGTTGGAAACAATCATATACATATATTTGTGAAACCTAATTTGTATTTCCGACAGCATAGAAATACCAGGTTTAAAAAGAGAGCACATGCGTGGAAAACAAAAGGCACAGCATTCAAATGTTGGCTATGTGTCACAGCACTGAAATAGAGTCCAGAGCCTATTTCAAGAAGAGATTGAAGGGCCATCTACTAATGACCATGTACCCTTGTGAACTGTGAACCCTAATTTAATTGTATCTCATGCTTTGCACTGGTGGGTGTCTAGTGCACTCATCCTTGGCTGAGATTGATATTGAAAGTGGATGACATTGTTGATGATGTTGGAGATTGTTGATGATATTGGTGATGTTGTTAATGATGTCAGGACTTATGTCTTGAATGTTGTTGTATTATTGTTGAATTGTTTTAAGTGTCGGACCCCAGGAAGAGTAGTTTTTGTCAAGAGCAATAGCTAATGGGGATCCTAAATAAACATAGACAAACATAAAGCACTGTACCGGTGTCTATGCAGAGGGCTGCCAGCAGGTCTGTCAGGTGGGTTATTTGATCTGGAGACAGCAGCATGTGGACACAGCCCACCTTGCCGTCCAACTCAAACTGAGGAACAGAGAAACACAGACAGGTGAGGAGTGCGCACACACACACCATGTATACATCAGTTCAGGGGACATTACATTGACTTACATGCATTTCCTGGAGACTTATCCTAACCTACACACACACACACACACACACACACACACACACACACAGCACACACACACACACACACACAAACACACACACACACACACACACACACACACACACACACACACACACACACACAGCACACACACACACACACACACACACAACACACACTACACACACACACACACACACACACACACACACACACACACACACACACACAACACACACACACACACACACACACAACACACACACACACACACACACACACACAAACACACCACACACCACACACACACACACACACACACACCACACACACACAGCACACGAGTACCACACACACAGCCAACATCACACACACACACCCACACATCACCACACACACACACACACACCACACACACACATCACACACTACACATACACCACACACACATGCACCACCACTACACCACACACACACAACACACACACCACACTCACACACACACACACCACACACCACAACACACACCACACCACACACCACACAACACACACACACACACACAGCACCACACACCACACACACCTTTGGTCCAGTGCAGCATGTCGTTTCTGTTTGATCTTGACGGTGGTCTCGATTGAACCGGAACAGCTTCCTATGATGCAGCGGCTGAGACGGAGGGCAGGGAGCGGATTTCAGGGGGCTTCGCATTCTCTTCAGTCCCTCATTATCATTATCATCTCCTTCTTCATCTTTCTTCCTCTTCTTCTTCTTCCTCCCTCTTCTTCTTCTTCTTCTTCCTCCTCTTCTTCCTCCTCCTCCTCCTCCTCTCCTTCACTTGCCGTTGCTGATTCAGGGTGTTGTCGCTTAAGAGGACCCTAAGAAATGAGGAAAATCTATGAGTTTTTCTCGTTATAAATGACATGTTTTTATATTGATATAAATTGTGTTGTGATTCTCCAAGTTAACAAGACTCTACGTTCCCTTTTTGACAAGACAGATGTAAATAGTGATTACTTTGAAACAGTAGCAAGTGAGTAAAGTTACTCTCCATCATTGTGGGATTAAGAAACGGGTTTATCAAGGTCTAAATAGCTGGAGATTTTTAGTTATCAACCACTTTGATCCACATCATCGTTTTCTTAAGAATCATTCTTTAATATTTGTTGTTTTTAGTTAGTCAAATCTTTCATGATTCTTCTAAAATGTAGATGAATAGATAAATTATAAACTTACATAAATAAAATAGTGAAATAAGTAATAAAATTGATACAAAGATCACATAAAGAGTAATCAGCAGTCACCTGTACTGTGCCAGTGCTGTCGTAGAACAGCTGCACGGCGCTCAGCTGGAGGATCTTGTGCAGGAAGGCGGGCGGCTGGTGGATGTCCACAGGCACGGCCGTCTGACTGGCTGGATCTCGCACGGCCTCATCAAAGTACTCCAGCCTGGAGAACCATGTAAACAAACACAGAAATGGTTTAGTCCACGGTCAAATTTCTCAGTGCAAATGGGAAAGAGTCCCACCTGCATTGTGACAGCAAACAAAATGGTTTATGGTAATGTAATTTCGTTATTTAGAATTACTTAAAACTCCCTTTGGTGCATTGTAAGGAAATGATATTTAGGTTTTAAACAAATATACCTGAAAAGGATCAGATAGCACTTTCACTGTAACATGCTTTACAGGACTCAAAACAGTTGTTCTGTAAAAGCATTTGAGAGGACGTAGCCCTCTGTTTACTGACCCCAGATCAACAGCCTGAGCAGCTTTGACAATGAGCCACAAAAACAACAGCGGGACAGTGACACACTTTACAAAATGGAATCACAGTCATGTGGCTTCAACAGAAATAAACATAGCAGTGGCTAACCAGTGTTTTATGTCTTGTAATTGCATTGTTGAGGAACCGTTGACACCATTTTTTCCCCATCATATACACTACACTGTAGGAGTAGTGTATATGCTCTGACATTCAACCTTTTGAATCACTGCTGTTGGGTTTCGACTAATAGAAATATCCACATAAAAGAGGTTCAGCCTGCTTTTTGAGGTATTTCCCTTTTTAACACTCACAGGAGGTTGCTTAAATGTCTTTCTGTGATCAGTAATATTGGAACTCTCCTACTTCAGCACTTATAAGAAAGAGGAAAGGCAAAAAATGAAGCCAAGCATTAGATGTAATCTTCTGTCTGCTCCTCAGCAGATAAGGAGAAGAGGCCTCTGCTCAGTCGTAAACTTGCACTCCTTGGCCTTGTCTTGTCAAACAGCCTCAGCGTGAAGCACATTTTAAACAGGGTCAGTATTGACGACGTCAGTCACCTGAAGAGACTTTTATCAGTAGCTACAAAGGACTGCAGGCTGAACGTAAGGTGTCGTCAATATGGGATGTTAGGGAGGCCGTAACCTTCACATTGATGAAAATGTTGCGACAGTTAGTTAACTGGTAGTAAGACTAAAAACCAAATCATGACTTATGAAATCATTTATAGAAATAAATGATGTTTCCAATCATTTGATGTAATTCACTGCATGTTTGACACAACCTCTTAACAGGGATTAGTCGAGTCAATGTTTTTAGACTTATAATTGAGCACTAGATATTTTGTTTATCAATTAATTATTCAAGTGTTGTCTCTGGCAGGAAAGGCTTTAATCATTACAAAGCTGTGAGGATATGAATCTGGAAGCTCTTATTTGTATGATGGGAAACATTTAGAAAGTAATGCTGACAGTTAGGGCTGCAGCCAGTGTTGGGAGTTATGCTTTTTGTCTACCGGCACTGTGACTGGCGGGCATCAGACGTACCAGGTACTGAACAAATAAACAGAATCCAGCAGCAACTTGCAGGACTTCATCATCATTTAGGAAGTTTAAAGGTTCATCCCGAGTAGCTTCTTTGATATCCTATTGTCAAAAGGGCTTAAGGGTCTGTTTCCCCAATAACAAGGGCTGTCTTCTTTACAATGCCCACTTATGAGCACACTTTTACAAAAAGGCCAACACTACATCGTGACCCAACAGAGAAATAATGGGGAAGAGTTTGTGTTGTATTAACAAATAGACAATTAAGAATTTAAAAATACAAAATAAAGGACACAAATTATGAAGGAGGTGAAATAATGAAAACATGTTTTGTTTTCTTCTCTGCAGCTTATTTGAATGTTGAAAAAGGAGCTAGGACGTACCGTTTGATGTGCATCTCTAAGGCCACGCCTGTTTCCAGGTCCAGGGGCTGGTGCTCGATGCGAACGATAGTGTCTATGAAGGTGACTTTAATACGACGAAGGACTGGAAACACAGATGAGATGAGAGACAGACAAAGGTTTATCAGCACTGAACTGTTAAATAAGCTCTTCTTGTGTGTGCTCAGATTGGTTATTTAATTGAAGAATATTCCCACCAATTGACATTATGACCGTGGGGAAACTTTGATGTCGGTTTTCACGACTTCGCTTCATCGCAGAGTTTGGGAACACATAGATTTGACTTACCTGTCTCAATGGTTTGTGCAAACATCTCCAGCCCCTCCAGCTGGGGCGGGGGCTCCTCTGAAGCCTCCGGGGGGTCCTTCAGGCACTCCTGAGCCAGCTGCATGCTGGAGGTCATGCTTGATGACCAGCCTTGAGAGTCCCATCCCCCACCTGCAAACAAACCACATGGGGATTTAGTGATGTCTTGCCTTTGACAGAGAAGTAGTGTAAATGACATGTTTGCAAACATAAGTTAACTCCATGGGACATCATGTTTTATAATTAACATTAATAAATTGCATAACATTTAGTTATTGTCATTATGCTGCTTTCAAATCCGTGTCTCAGTGCTGTACGATACGATACCAGTCACCTCTATGGAAACATTGGTATAACTGCCTTTTTTAATTTATATTTGAGTGTTGTATGTCTTTTTTTTTTTTAAATGGACCAAGAGTCTCTTTAAATAAAGCTGATGATGATTGAAATAATCGATGATTTAAAAATATATGTATTTGTCGAATTTTTATTTGTAAACAAAAATGATTAATGGCTTATTGTAAGCATACTAAATCTAAAACAAATGTTTTCAATTATAGCTTACTATTTAAAACAAATCAGAATATTCAGAACATGAACTTTGAGCCTATCTGCAACAAAGGGATGCTTTGTTTAAAATGGTAATAGTACAGTAGTGAGGTATTGCTGTTGTGAAACATGGCCAAGAGCTTTGAATGTATCTTTTCTTTATAAATTAAAGATAAAACAAGGTCAGTAATTGATATCTAAGAATGATAATGTATTTCTTAAAGCAAATTACAATGATTTAAATTACTCAAATGTTAGGATTTGAAGTGTTCTCTTCTTCATATATAACTTTTAATTGATTATGTTGGGGTTATGAATGTTTTTGATTTGATCATGCCACTTTGAGGTCTGTTCTATATTTTCTGACAATTTATTAAAAAAAGGTATATGTATATAGTTCATATCAGCATATTATTATCAACACATTACTGGAGTAGTTGTCAGTGGTTTGATTAGAAGAACAAAAATGTCTGGACTTGAAGTCCAATGATCTTTCTTGGATCATCACTTACATCCTGTTGTTTACATTTTTTTGTAATGTACCTAAATAACAGATCTTACCAAAGAGACACTTATTTATACTCAGCTGCATAACAAGAGCTCTACACCAAGAATGATTTGGGAGAACACAGTAATAAAAACATGGACAAAGTAAGTCTTTTGGACCACACTTGATTGGACAATCCCTGGAAGAACCCCTTACGCAACAACATGTGGCTAACAGATGCACATTTAGTGTCAAAAGAAGAGTGACAGGTTGACTCAACAAGTTGCTTCTCAGTGAACTTACTGGTCCTGTACTTGGGTCGACATGTTATCTGGAGACCAGAAACCTCTAAAGTGCAGTGATCAGTCAGGAGAGCTTGCCAGGGTATGGTCACTGTTATGGTGTTCACAAAGCCATCCACTATCTCCAGAGGAGCCCCAAGAGACTCCAAAAGCTCATTGACCGCCTGAGGTAGAGAGGAAGCAGTGATAAGAAAGACAAGTGAAAATAAACCTGAAATCCATATCATCTTATCACTCTTTATGTAGACTTAAGCAAAGGAAGTGAACAGTAAAACATGGCAGGGGGGGGAAAGATCTATCCATTCTCAATGTTAGAAACTAGATAGACTTGAAGTGCATCTGGTGATATGTTTCTCATGAATGCGTTTTCCTCGAAGAAATGCGAGCTAGGTTCAGAGTGACGTTACAGATTGTTGTTGAACTCGAGTGCAGTTGCGAAATAGTCAAGGGTGCATGAGCCCGACAAAAACACGATGCATGCTGATGTGGTGCGGGGTTGACAGCCACCTATCTGTAATAAAATCTCACCCAGACATCGAGGTTGATTTCCTTGATGACACCGCTGCCGTTGTACAGGTCCAAACCCAGCTGGTCCAAGCTCAGTCTTTCCTGCAGAAAGTGGCCGAGGTAGTGCTGTAAGAGGTACCGACAGGCCCGTTTCTTGATTGAGCCTGACCAGGGGAAAAGCCAGCGAGACATAGGGCCAGAGAGAGCGGGGAAAGGGAGCAAAGAGGTGGCGGAGGAGAACCAGTACGAGTACAGTCCTCTGGCAACTGCATAACAGACTAACACAAAGTGAGCAAAAACAAGGAATGAGCCACAGCTAGCTGCAGGGGGCTAAGGAAGGGGGTAGCTCGTAACTATCCTCACGGCTTGACACAACAACTCGGAAATCCTTTGTGGCAGGATCTACAAGAATCCCCTGCGACTTGACGACACGTTACTCCTACTGTCTGTCGCTGTCTCGACTCGTATTTTCGGTTGTGTTTGTGTCGAATCGGAGCGACAGGTTCCGTTGTTGCGTATCTCTTGTTTCAGGTTGTTTATTGTTATCCTACGCCAACTGATTGGTATGGTGAACGTACGTGCGTCACGGTGACGAAGCGCAAAACCCGGAAAAGAAAGATGACACCCGACGTAACCTGGGCGCCATCTTTGTAAGGTATATTTTTTAAATATCTAAAATAACCTTTTAAAACATATATTTTATTTTGTATTATTCCAACATGAACGTTTATTATGATTTGGGTTCATTATATTTTAGATGTATTTACAGCTCAATCTTTTTTTTTTTTTAAATTGACACTAAACCCGAGGCATATAATAATTTTTTTCTTTTCCGAATACATTACTACTTATTAACAGAGCAGTTGATGGTAGCTGGGAAGCTTAATAATGCCATTATGCCTTTAAAATATAGTTGTTTAACATCTTATAATAATAAAATGTCTGCTTTATTGATGAATTATTTTATTGTTTATGGTAATTGTTGGTCTGTTCAAAGTAAAGAGTAAACCACTTCTCATTAAATGGAAGGGCTTTGAAGTACCAGTTGGAATTTCTGCTCTATCCATTAAAAAAACTTACTTTGCTATAGTAACTATATATATATTTCTTCCCCCATGCATATACATTTGGCTGTTTTTGATTAGTGTCAATCAATGGCACTGTGTGCAATTAAAAGTAATTTGATACAAAAAGGAGCTTAATGTATAAAATATTTAGTTACACTCAAAATGATATCCAGTTTATAGCAACTTTCTTTTTAGAAACGTTCAACAGTATGTAGGAGTGGTAGTCGGCTAATAGCCCACTTTGATATATTGAAGATGCACATTAAAAGTGATTAAAGGCTTAAGACAATGCTATTTACTGGATATCTAGTCCGGGAAACATTTTTCAAAGACAAGAAAGAAATGTCAAACTCAATTAGTTTTTTCTTGCTTTTTTCTACTTTCTTTCTTGTGTAACAAAATATTTTATTATTGTAAACATAATACAACAAAACATGAACAAACAGTTAAATCACTCACCATGACTTTATTCCTATGAACACATGTAGTGATTTCTATACAAATGACCAAAAACAACGACAACCAAGAATGGTAATCATAAAATCAGTCCTTAGGTCAAACAATTGGCTGTCTAAACAAAACAGTACAACTTGATCTTCATAATGTTCTGAAAAATAACGGGAAAATGTAAAGGATATAAGAAAAGCCATAAAAAAAAATTACTGCCGATTTTATTTCCCAGGACTATGATTCAACTCTTTATTTTATGAACGCAACATCAGGGATCTTGCCATCCGCCTGGAGAGAGAAAAAACAGCATTTCAGTGCTTGCTATAAAAAAGACCAGACACATGGAAAAACAGAGAGATGTACCATGAACCATTATATTACCTTTAACTGAGTGAAAACTTGCCCCGCTGCGTCGAAATTCCAGTTATTGTCTTGCAGACACCTTCAAAAGAGAATAGGTGTTAATATACGTTGAATTGAGTAAATCAAATGTAATTACATTGCAAACACTACATGCACATAAACAAGGATTACTTTTGGGACCATTCCAGGTTCATGCCAGACTTCTGCGAGAAGGCTGTGAGCATCTCCTGGTGCGGTGCAGTGAGGATGGGCACGGGGCTGGACGAGGGAGTGGGAGCGGGGGCGACGAAGGCTCTCCGGATCTCCTCTGTTGTGGCCATCCGGATGAACATCTGGTCGTTCACGATGCAAAGACTATGGCACAGAAAGAAACAAGTTGAACAAAAGAAAGATATCTCCTGGTGATGAAGTAAAGTGATTGCATGACTTGAGGCAACACAGCTGTATTTGTATAGCAGCTGCCAATCCTTTTGACAGTGTGTGCTTACATTAACTCAACTACAACACTAGATGGCAGCATCAATCCTTAAAAACAATCCAACTTTTAATTTTTCCACTGTAAAATAATCCTCAATGCAAATCCAAACTCCAGTCTTTGGATTCAAACTGGTAATAAACTGGGGTTTCTGTTTTTGTCACAAAAAGGGCAGAAAATAATATCTTGTATTTTATTGTTTTGCACATCATGTAACACAAAAGGTAATATCTTTCAACATCCAGGTGAAAAAAACCCCCCCAAAAAGGTAAGAAAATTCTCTGATAATACATTTTTAAGATGCATATAGGTGTAATATTCAGATCTCAGCAGGTTATTTTCGAAAAGATCCACAACTGTTGTTACTAAGTAAGTATTATGACCTTTCCTCAGGGAAATTGTGGATGACAACAGGAAGATGATACAAACCATTGGGAGCTCACTAAACTTACCCGTTATTCCCTGCTGGGACTGTGACGAAAACCCGGGAGAAAGCCATTGTCGACTCTCGGGATTTACCATCAACAGCAACTGAAGAAGAAAACACGAGACACTTTAGCAACAAATCAACATTACTCATCCTTACAGAGAAGAACAAAACATTTTTATTGTACAATGCATTGTCTTTTTATGCTGCTGCAACCCAAATTGGCATCAATAAAGTACCATCTTATCTTATAAATATGATGACTGTACAACTTACCTTCTTTGAAGACTCCGCTCACTGTGAATGATAATAGTGTGTTCTGCAAATGGGAAACATATTTGCAGGTTTAGTAGATACATGACTCCCAGTGAGAGGATAAGGTTAATGACAAGTACTTGCTGAGTCTGACAGAACAAACATGATCTCACCGTGAAGGTGTTTACGTCGACATTAAAAGAGGCAATGTCGTGCTGAGTTTTGGGCAACTCGTTGAGGAAAGCCACCACGTTCAGTCGTGTATGCTTCAGAAGTCGAAACCGAACCGCTAAAAGAGGCAAGATTCAGAGAAAGAAACAAGGAGGAATCTCAAATCACAGAAATATTCATTCTCAACCAATTCAGAGACCAAGTTAACAGCTCAATAGATAAACTCACTGGTGTCTTTGATCCTCTTCAGGTTTCGAGTGTCTTTGTGATACTCCCCAAGGCTGCTCCTAAAACCAGGAAGACAGGGACAGATGGAATACATGTGAATACTTCAGTGACCCATGTAGAGGTGTCATCGGGAGGAAATGAGAAGCACATGAATGTTGGAGGAAAGACAAAATAATGTAAACAAAAGATCTATCTAAATTTCAACTTGAGAAACAAAGTAAAACATTACATTTATACATCGATATGTTATTGGTGTTGCCACATGTATACAGAAGTTTGTGTCTTTGGGTGTGTTTGTACCTGGAGGGGTTCTGGGTGGAGTACGGTGTTGTGAGGGGATAACGATGCTCCATCATGGTAGGCATCCAAGAGTGACTGTCTGTCCCCGGAGTCATATATACTGTAGTACCTGCAACACATGACATATCTCTTGACTTTGTTTTATGTCCTCTCCTGTAGGTCCCCGTCTTAACCAAACACTATTTTCTGGAACAGGCCCGGCTGTTGTGAGAAGATTGTTTACATACAAAAAGTTAAAACTCACTGTTGCAAGAAGCGAAGGATGAGGACCTTGATATCATCAGAGCCAAAACAGCTGCCCTGGGTTGTCAAAAAAGAAAGAAAAGGTCAGCTACATAAAGGACATATTGATTGTTTTGAAACCCGAAAAGAGATGTTGAAGAGGTTCAGGAAAGATATACAAGTAATCACAAGATAAAAAACAAGAAACCTTGCAGGGGGGGATAGTTGTGGGGGTTTCCACATCAAATCCAATGGGAGCAGGGAGGTCATGACCATCCTATTGAAATAAACCACACATGAATAAAGACACATGAGAGAAATTAGCTTATCCCAATTTGTTATTGTCTTCTAAATTTGTAACTATAAATGCAACTACAAAATAAAATGGTTTACAGTATTCCTTATATCAACACCAATCAATGGGTATTTAAAACATTTGTAAAACGACATGCAAATTCAAGCAAAATCCTTGGTTTGAAAACACAACAGTTTAAATTAAGTACTTTTCTAACTTCAAGTGTTTGAACAATCCCTGATTTAATTTAGCAACTTTAAAAAGCGAATGTGTTTCAGAAAATGTATTGCACATTTCGCAACCATCGCAATTAATTGCTGGTTAAATACTGCAGGACAGTTCCTAAAATATCTCATCGTGTTATGAATGTAGAACATGACCGGCATTATTCAAGTGAAGTGAGGAGATAACGTGTTGACTTACGAGTTTGAGAAGCCGGGGGGAAACCTCTGCCGCCACAGCACTGGTAACAGAACAAAAATTAAGAGAAGGTTACGATCAGAACTACATGACACACAAATAAAATCATGCTCATTACTGAACGTTAAGCACTGTCACTCACACCTGCTGACCAATTTAATGTCATTTGTTCCTCAACTTATGTCATTAGGCTGACACTGTCAAAAAACATTTGAGAGAACACATTATGTATAGATGCATATGTAACTAAAGCCAGTGGGATTTAATCTTTACAAGTAATGATGGACTATTATTTGCACTCTAATCATTCCTACTGAGTTTCATGCTACAAGAATGATCCCACCCCCCCAAGTGTACTTACCAGTTGGTATACTCATCCTCTCCCCCAATATGGAGATATACACAGATTCTGACATAGGGAAGCAATACAAGCAAACTTTTCTAAGAGCGCACACACACACACACACACCACACAACAAACAGGCAGAGACCCATGGTCTACCAGACTGCACAGGAACCAGCATCCTTTTTGTATTAGTAAAATAAGAAGTTGGGCATTGCTGGGAGAGAGGTGGTTACCACCAGTGTTGGGTTCCCTCCCCCCAAACTCTGGCAGTGTACGGGAGCAGATGAGTCTACGCCACGAAAAACAAAAACAACTCTGGGGAAAAATATATAAATTTAAAAAATTCACACAAACACTGCACAAACTGGTCTAAAATGAATTCTAATAAGTATCCATTAAGACTCTGTTGGTGTCTAAGCCATTGATTATCAGCAGGGAAAGTCAACCTGAGAACAGAGCTGAACAAAAAGGACAGTGGGCTTCAGAGTGAGCTGAACGCAGCAGGCCCACCACTCATCCTGGTTTCTTCCCCTGCTGCACACACAAAGCA